GAAAGTTACCAATGATTTAATCGACTATATCCCCCGACTCTTTGACCTTCCTCAGGAGGCTAAGAACCAGATTTTGATGGCGAATTCACCACATTTCCTTGGGTACTCCAGGCTAGGTGCTGAATTTACCAAAGGCAAGACGGATTATAGAGAGCAATTCGACTTCGCAACTCCTCATGAGACACAGTGGAAACCCGGAGCCCCTGAGCATCTGCGCCTATGGGGACCTTCCCAGGTGAGGGTTCTGTATTCAATCAAAGCTGCGCGAACTGAACTCAATTCACCTAGTGGCCAGATGAGGGCCTGATCCCAGGGTTCAAAAATACCATGGAGACATATCTCCAGCAAGTTCAGGCTCTGAGCTACCAGTTCACCAGCTTACTCGCGGAGGCTTTTGGCCTTCCTTCTGATGCGTTGAACAAGTTCTACGATGCTGATAAATTCATGCAGCACCGCGGAAAGGTAAATATCAAACGAGGGCCACAATGTATTCTGTGGAGATCAGGATTCATCTGTTTTTAGGTCGTCAAATACCCCGCTAATGATGGTTCTTTGACTGATCAAGGCGTTGGCCCACACTATGATGCTGGCTTCCTGACCTTCCTTCTTGTCGCCTCGCCTCATCGCGGTCTGCAGGTACAAAACCTTTCTGGGCAATGGATCGACGTTCCTCCTATCCCAGGAACGTTCGTTGTGAATATCGGAAAGGGTAGGCTGCAAACTGCAAGTGCACGATGCATTGAATTTCAGCTCTGACTTCTTCGTTCTGACGGTCTAGCACTCGAGTTTGTTACCCGCGGGTTGGCGAGAGCTACATCGCACCGCGTCTTATCTCCCCCTGTGGGTTCGACCCCCCGCTATTCTGTGCCATTTTTCCAGAACATCAGTCTGAACGCTTGCCTCGCTGATGAAGTCTTAGACTGTGGGTGCCTTCGATTAAATACTTGCTTCACATACCTTGATCACCATTTTACAGTCCCATCTGAGATCCTTCAGCTCAAACAGCTTCGAGGAGATCCTGTTCAGACTGACTGTACGTCGTCTGCTTTTGTATTGGGACAACATTATTGATGCATACTCTACAGCTGTCAATTTCGCAGAATTTGACCGCGAGCCATCTGGAAAAGTGAACCTCATCGGGCGAGTGAAGTAAGTTCTCCAATTGGTTATCTACTGTAGCAATTTTTGAATGTCTCCGTTAGAAGTCACCCTGACGTTGCGCAACGTCACTACCCGGACCTTTTCGCACAATACTTCCCTAACGGCCTCCCACAGCAAGTCAGCGCATATTAAGGTTGAGAAGAGCATATCTGTACACTAGATATTACCTCCCCGCTGTACCAAATTATGGAAACTTTTTTTGCAGCACATGGATGTCAACAGTCCCTATATTTTCTTAGGGAATGTAGACGACCATATATAACAGCCCCGCCGATTTCTTGAGAATTTTCTGGCAAGCGAGAGATAAGAGTCCAACGTGCGAATATACATTGAACAGGGCTACCAAACAAGATAACAGCACTGCAGGAAAATTAGATGCGAGCGGAGGGATGGAACCAGTGCGAAGGAGGTGAGCAAGATATACAATGGGCCAGAAAGAAACGACGATATCAGTTGTGGACATGCAATGAAATTTGGAATAGTTGATTGTGAGTGTCAAGACGAAAGAAATAAGGCATCGCAAGTCATTCTATAACCCCTAAGCCTGCCTCCTCCGCCCAACGGGATTGAGATGCAATAGCATTGCGTAGAGATGAATGAAATAGAAATGGAGCATATAATACACCAACGTGAAGCCTCCAGCGTGACGCAGCGTCAGAACGTTGGCCATTTGAGCGGGTCTGGTAATAATGGTTTGCGTCGTCGGTTGTGTGACGTCCCGTGCAGGTGGATCCTCATGCAGGAATGCCACGGTCGGCTCTAAGATAGAAACATCAGAATCAGGTGCGTTCACCGCAACGGGATCAGCTGCAGAGAGTCAACTCGAGTCGGCAACTTGGATCCAAACCGCTTCAGGTGGGGTGGAGGGAGGTGGGACGTTTTCCTCATCGCTGTCGTCATCGGTAGAAGGCTCACCCTTGTTATCGTCGACGGAAAGATCTGGAATGGGTACAACCTCGTCCTTCTTGTCAGCTTCGGCCTTGTCTTTAGCTTCCTGTTCTTGGAGCTGCTGTCTCAGCTTGGTAAGCTCAAGTTCTTTCTTCTCAAGCTCAGCCTTCTCCTTCTCCTTTTCCAGGAGTTCCTTGCGCCGCTTCTCACGCTAGGTAGAATACGTCAGTTGAGTCGGATAATCAGGGGAACAAGTGACGCTCAGTAAAGTCGTCAAAATCCGGAATACTCACATCAAGTTTTTCCTTGATTTCACGAGCCTCCTTTTCCTTTCTCAAGCGTTCCCTGAGCTCCCTCTCGCTGATCACCCAGGCGGCAGCTCCATTGGCAGCGGCTTCAGGTTGCGACTTGTTCTTGAGTAGATCTAAAGTCGTGCAAAAACGTGTCAGCACATGATTTCACCTCACTCACCACCCCGCCCACAGTAGACCAAGTAAAGCACGATGGAAAGGAACATCAAAGCACAAGGGGCGCCATAAAATTAGAAGAAACTCACAGCCTTGCAGCGCTGCAACGCTGAACTCGTCATCTGGAATTGAATCCGCAAACATCTTCGCGAGCGTAGCGAGTCTGGCACCATCCAAAGGCTTGGCGGAGTGCTGGCATGCAGTGAGATGCTCCTCAACCGGAGGTGGTAAGTACGCTTGGTTTTTGGAACCAAAGCCGTCTCGGGGAGGCTTCGAGGGCGAAGATTCCTTGGAAGACGCCAGAGATGACGTCGACGACGAGAACGAAGGAGAAAGAGACCATAGCGTTGAAGACTGCGAAGACGGTGATGGAGAGGACGACTGGGGCGTTGTGGGTAGGTCAATTCCCTCTATGTCCCCCTCTATAACTTCATTATCTTGATCCGTGGAGGGGAAGAAGTTGCGGAACAAAGCCTCCGCTTGCCACTTTGAAGAATTCTTGAACTCAACCCAAACATCCATACGACCCGGACGTGAGAGTGCAGGGTCGAGACGCTCCAGATGATTGGTGGTGCTATAGATATACGTCAGAGCGTTCTAAACCGAAGGATTTCAAACTTACGCGAAGAGGATGCGACCTTCGGCAGCAGCTACACCGTCCAAGGCGTTCAGCAGGCCGCTCAAACTCAGTGTGTTTACATCAGAAATGTGGTCCTTATGACGTCTGTGCCTCGAACTGCTGCTCGTCACCGGCTGTTCCGGAGCGCCCTCTTCCGAGCTGTTGCTCGACGAGTCCGGAGTACCATTGGAACTCTTATCACGCGTGACGCTGCGCGTAAACGCCGCATCGAGATCCTCGAGAAGCACGATGCAGCGAGCCGGGACACGACCCATGAGGGTGGTCAATGTACTATCGCTGATCCACGAAGAAGACAGTGACACAACATAGATGTCAAGCATGAGTTCGCCCGCGATGGCATGAATAAGGGAACTCTTTCCGGAGCCAGGTACACCATGCAGCAGGTAGCCGCGGCGGAATGGAATGCCGCGATCCGCATACCACTGTGGATTTATTATCAATGAAACGTGACTTTGATAAAATACCGAAATTACCTTCTCGGACTTCAAAAAGTCACGCGTGTCGTTGAGAAGCATCTCCTTTACCCCAGGGTTGAGAACAATGGACGACATAGGGCGTTTATGACGAGAGTCGGTCCAGCGCCAGCTGCCGTGCGAGTCTGCAAAGTATATTTGGATCCTGTGGATCGCCTCGGCCTCATACTCTTTCTTGGCTTGTAAGACAAGCTGCTTGAGGATGGTGTTGTTCCGCGCAACAACGCTGTAATGCCAGCATACATCAGCCACGAGGCTAAAAATGAGTCAGAAGGATAATTTGAAATATCACCTTATTGACAGGACTTCGCATCCGCTACCGTCTTGCTTTTTACTACGACGGACCCTGAGCCAGTGACCCTTGTAATAAATTGTGTGTGTGGTGTCGAATGTCGGCTGGAATACGACACGTGTCTTGACTTTACCGGGGGGTGAATCTTCGTCACCCTCCTCTTCTTCGTCGTCACCAAATGAATTGTCTGCTTGGCGAGATCCTGAGAAGCCGGGGGTTGTGGTACGAGTAGTAGTTTCGAACTCTCTAGAGCGCTGCCACTCAGGGCGGCGTGAGAGCCACAGCATAAGCCAATCATAAGGATAGTCCTCTTCCGAGAAATGCGCAGTGAGGAAGAATGCTGTGTCAGGCAATAGAATGTCAGAAAAAGGCTTTAAATGACAGGCGACTCCTTACAGTTGAGGAAATGAGACCTTTGAGGTATGCTGTCGTCAGCGAGGAGGTGGATGAGAACGATTCAGGACATACCAAGCTGAGCTAGAGGCCCTTCTGGCTGTCTCGACAGTTCCTCCCAGGACGACGAGCTTCATGCCGTCAATGACTGAGGAGCCTCCTGCGCCTCCGACGAGGGGTTGCACGAGCGACTTGAGAGCGTCCATGATAATGGTAATGTCTCAAGGTGAGTGGACGAGCCAACGTTGCGAGGAAGGACACTTTGAGTGTAAATAGCGGAAATGTAGACAACAAGGTGGGTGTGTGAGGATAAGAGGAGGATGGTATCTAATAAACGCTGTAAGGTGATATACTGTCTGGCGCAAATAGGCTGTAAGCAGCAAACAAGTTAGCTTACAACTATGAGCGTCCAGGGAACAGACAAACAAATAGTGAGGCAACAAAATAAGTCGAGGACTGTCACTACAGTCCCGTTCTGATTCTCATGCAATGAGGAGGAAGTCAAGCCGCGTCAGCCTGAGAAAGTGGGTATTTCTTCTACTCCAGGAATTAAGCGCCGGCCAACTTGGTCACGCCACCTTCACAGCATGGTACACAGCTTATTGAGAACGTCTGGAAAAGCGAATATCTACGTACAGCTGCAGTAGATATATGTGTGTACTCCTAAATATTGAATGAATCGGGAATCACGACACCGCCAAGTATAACCCTTCTACAGCAACATTGGCCTGCCATATTCCCAGCTTGCGAACAATTCTAAGAACTATTGGGGCGGGAAACACCAACACATACGACACAGGGACCACTACCAGCAGAGGGATGGTTAAAAACAAAGTGATACTTGGTTTGATAACCAAAAAATAAAATAACGCCTGATAGGATGTCCAATCCGTGAACTGCAACAATGGGCGGCCGAATAACGGAGGTAAGAGGGCTTTTGGCTAGAGGGGGAAAGGCGGATTGGACGCACCATGGCTATCGTGTTTTTGTAGAATGAGAATTCGTGGTACGGTGACCCTGCCTCCACGCCAGACAATTGCGGTGGTCGCACCCGCTGGAAGATTGGTAGGGGCGGATGGGGAAGTGGGTAAGCAAGAGGCCCATGGAATGTTGTTTGGAGACCGAGCTACGGATTCAGTTTCATATTCAATTTGAAATTGAAGATAGAAGCGAGACGCACTTCTCCCCTTGCAAATACCCTGGCACCGAGCAAATTGAGGAAACATAGGAGAGCACCCAAAGGTAAGGCAATTAATAGTGTTGTACCAGTCTATAAAAGCCGGTCAGAAGTGACAACAATTTTCAATTCCCAAACTGAACGCCAAGAGACAGAAAATAGAGGCTAGAACAACATGCTCACCAAAGTAAATACAAAAAGGTAAACCCATGCAAGTAGGGCATAGGGAAAATTGAGCACTAGAAGATGGAATACGGCTGCATGGTATGCTCTAAGAGTCATGGGTCGGAAGTAACGAGACCAGAAGCGCCGCGAAAACGGTGACCACCGGTGCGAGCTTCTAAATTGTGATTCTGTTAGTGCGCCGGGACGTTGCTGACGCCTCGGATGACCATCGTGTGCATACGGGTAGTCACGGTCATCCCCGATCGCCTCATATATGTCAACGTCAGATTCGATATCTGGATCAGAATGGAGCAGGGATAACACTGTTTGCGCTAGAGAGGGCGCAAACGAATTGGACGAAACAATTGTGCTCGACTGCGAATATGTCCTCTGGCGCCCCGACGAACGTTGGGCGGAGCCTGGCAGAAAATCACCAAGTAGTGGCGTCTGCTCTGTGGCATCCTCAGTCCGAGGGAACGAATGAGTTGAGACTGATAATTGAGGGGAAATATATCCCGAAGTAGGATCTGAATCTGGTGGAGGCTGCGGTGATAATGGCGCTGGTAAGCGATGCCTCCGACTATGTCGAGTCGCGCGTGAGCGTCGTTCTTGGGATGGATAAGGTGGTGGGGGATCGTAGACTGTAGCTGCTTGGTTGAAAACTGGAGGAACTATGTTCCGAATTCCAGCAGGGTTACAGGATTCTTCAGCAGACATCCCTTGGGCCATCCTTCTGGTTGGTGGAAGGTCGTGGTCCAGCACGTGATGTAATAGTCATGACAAATAAACGCTTATTAATCAATTATTAATAGTATGTTATGCATGAAATATTATATAATTTGAGTGGCAAGGCCTTGTCACTTCCTGCCATGAGCGGAGTCCCGTCAACGGTCATTGCGAGCAGCGGGGCCGACAGTTACCAGGGCTCACCTCGACTTGACTTTTTTCCGCATGAACCTTTTGCTTTACTCGCGGGGTTGATGCCGATGCACATGTCTCTAAGTATATCATTGCAATTTGATCAAGCAGCAGAAATAATATTAATGCTATTGGACCAGTGCTCTTGACTCAGAATGTGTATTAAAAAACTAAAACTACATCTACAGCCACCGAGCTACCAGGTACATATTCCCACTACTTGTAGTGGTCCAGGCGATGGCTGTAGCTTGTCAATGCCATTTTCTATTTGCATGTACACGTTGAGAACCGTGTAAGCTCTCGAACATTCGGCTCTGTCCCTCTGAGTGACAAGAGTCTACGAATCTTAATTACATGTTCTCACTATGTACTTAGTAGTTTGTAGATCAACGTTAATTATGGGATATGCTGTCAGAGTTCTGGATGCCGAAGTACAATGCCGTGAAAAATAATTAAGCAAATATAATAAATTCGGGGACGGTGACCATGTTATTGGTTTCTTCTTTTTGCTTGCTAACTTCCCACTAATTATTGTTGGATCACCCCGCTCTTTCGAAACTTTTGATTTCTACCATTCGTCTTCTTGTTCGCATTGTTCCTTTCTTTCTATTCACGCACGACATCCTTTCCCAAACATGGGCTGTGTTCAATCTACTGCCGTCGACAACGAGGCCAAGGCTCGTGCGTGTTTCAACACCACTCGTCCGAACGAGACCTAACTTCAATTCGTCTTTTCTAGGCAACGATGAGATTGAAAACCAACTCAGACGAGATCGAATGATGGCCAAGAACGAGATTAAAATGTTGCTTTTAGGAGCAGGAGAGTCAGGAAAGGTCAATTACGCACTGACCATCCCGAACACATCGCTGACGAACCGTGTTTTCGTAGTCTACCGTCCTCAAGCAGATGAAACTCATTCATCATGGCGGCTATAACGACTCTGAACGAGATTCCTACAAAGAAATCATTTACTCGAACACCATTCAGTCCATGCGGTGCGTATTATAACCGGTTGAAACTCCATTGTAACCCTGATGGGCCTTCTAGCGCCATTCTGGAGGCTATGCCTCAGCTTGATATATCTCTATCACCACAGAATGATGCTCGTCGTGCCGTAATCCTCGCTCTTCCCGGCCAAATTGAGGGCGATGTGCTTCCAAGGGATGTCGCCGACGCTATTCGAGGACTTTGGCGAGACTCAGGTGTCAAGGAAGCCGTTCGTCGGTCACGAGAGTTCCAGTTGAACGATTCTGCTGTCTACTACTTCAACGCAATTGATCGCATGTGCGGACCAGGGTACTTGCCGACGGATCAAGATATTTTGCGGAGTAGAGTGAAGACAACCGGTATCACTGAAACCACATTCAAGGTCGGCGAACTTACGTACAAACTCTTTGATGTCGGAGGTCAGCGGAGTGAACGTAAGAAGTGGATTCACTGCTTCGAGAACGTCACAGCGTTGGTATTTCTGGTATCCTTGAGCGAGTACGATCAGATGTTATATGAAGATGAGAGCGTTGTGAGTACCAAGCTCCTTATTAGTGTATCTCCTTTCAAATTGATTACGTCCACAGAATCGCATGCAAGAGGCCCTGACTCTCTTCGACTCGATATGCAATTCACGGTGGTTTGTCAAGACATCAATTGTACGTACTCCTACCTCGTGGCGTAACACATACTTATTCCCTACACAGATTTTGTTCTTGAACAAGATCGATCTGTTCGCTGAGAAACTCCCACATTCACCGCTTGGTGACTACTTCCCAGACTACACCGGCGGCGACAACTATGATGCCGCTTGCGATTATTTGCTTCACCGCTTCGTTGCGCTCAATCAGAATGCGGCAACCAAGCAAATATACGCTCATTATACTTGCGCAACGGATACCCAACAAATCAGATGTAAGAACCCTCCCCTTATGCACGTGCTCTACACAGACTGACTTTGCCCCCTTTTAGTCGTGTTGAGTGCTATTCAAGATATCCTGCTACAGATTCATCTTCGCGAGTGTGGTTTGCTGTGATGATATCATAGCACTACTCTTCTCCCTTTGGTATTTGTTTTATCCCATGCATCATCTGCCTCTCGCGCATGCAATTCGCTCTACCAGCTTTCATCGCATCAGACATTCACACCTCTACATCTTGGCTATCCAGTTCTCTTATTTTGAGATCCCCACGTCTACCATCGTTCTGTGCGCTCTACCGAACATACACGTATCATGATGGGTTCGTAGGAGTGTTTTATATCGTCGTGTCATTTCCCTCTTCCTCTCTCATTTCTTTCTACCAAAACGTGGATTGACCAAAACCTAGTATACCCTTCTTATACGATTCCTATGTAATTGGAGACCTTATCTTGACCGCTCGTTAATTCTTTGGGATTGAATTTATCAGAATTTCAGGCAGTGCACCGGATGTTCCGGCCATAGGTGGTTTATTTTTGCCTAAATGATGCGAAGCTAAGGATGATATTATTGTAAGACAAGATAATAACTCACATAGAGAACCCCATTAGGCACCCATCTGCACGCCATACGCTCGGGAGTCGGCGGCGACGCTGGATCGCTGGGCTCTGTGAGATGATTGGGTTATCACAAGAGCGGTGCCCTGCTATGCCACTAGCAGGTTTACACCACCGGATCCAAGTATAGCTCAAATTTGATAAGTGACTGTCATGAGACCTTGATGTTCTCAATATTAATGGCGCAATGCTCTTGGAGTGGAAGCTGGCGACTGGTGGCGCATTATGGTATCTGCGGACGCCGTAAGCACCATTCCCGAGGAGGTATAAAATTTAGTTAGACGCCCATGTCAACGTGCAGGTTCAGCGCATTGCACAGGTATGGCAGAAGCTTATTCACCTTTCAAGCATAGTCGAACATCCATTTTTGTTCCAGGCCATGCACCATGGGTCTGCTGATAGTGCCAAAATGTAGATGCCACCATATAGGGGGTATAGAACGCCACACAACCGCTGGCGAGCGGAACCATACCTACACGTGGCAGGTGATGATACTATAACTAGGATAGCGATGCGACAACTTGCTGGCGAACGACTAGATCAAATTTCTGTCAAAAGGTATTCGTGCAAATGCAAGATAAAGTTGTGATGCAATAGTACAAGTTCAAAGTTTGAAATTTGAACGACGATTAAAGCAAAATGATGGTCGGCGATAGAGCTCAGGGATTTATCGATTTGGATGGTAGCTATAGATTAGCGAGATTAGAAACTGAAGTAGGCATATCGGTAACGCGTCCGACAATGTTATAGCGTTTCCTGTTAAACGAAGATAAGCGCCATGACACGTTCGTCTAAGCGAACCTGTTCGGGACGTACTGGAAAAATAAGAACCAGTCGTTGAGAACGTTCTTCTCGTTCTCTGGTAGGTCGCTGTAGTCTGGTACAGCGTCCTCTGGTTTCAAACTGGACATTCCAAGTCCCTTTGAGCCGTCCTTCCCGGCAAAGATGTTGTATGATTTTCCGGGACCGTACACGTCGCTTTTACGTGTGACGTCAAAGACAGTGCCTACTAGAAGTAAGCAGGAGGATCATCACCTCATACAATGCGAGGACAAACCCCTAATGGATACATAGATTGGCTTCGAATTGTCGGAGCCGTCGAACTGCTTGAGTTGATCAAGGGTGAAGGGGTCATCCTTCGGGGGGTCAAGGTCATCTCTGGGTGGTTGCATGATGGTCTTAAGAGACTTCTTCTCTTCTGGTTGTGAGTCTACTGGTGGAGACTGGTGCGATGGCGATAAGGTGCGTCGTTGTACAAAAAATAGAAGGGGCAAGGCCAGCACGAGTCCATAGATCACCACCAAAAACATGACCAGCTAACCACTCATTCGGCATTTGCCGCCATAACACTCTTTCCTGGTGGATTTGCGGAGCTTCAAATCTAACGATCATTGCTGTTGCATTGCTGTCTCCTCAAAGCTTGTTGTCAGCCCAAGCACCACACATCGATGGATCCACTAGGATCCCTTTATTTATTTATTCCCTTCAGCTTGGATAGTGCTTGTCAAAATGCTATGACCATGGCAGTCACAGCAGCCACACTTCTCGACTATAAAGCTAGGTCGCATCATGGTGGCACAAACCATCGTCTTGCAATCAGTGTGTCTACTGTATTTTCTTGTATCCATCATCATCAATCATCCCTATCCCTAACGACTGTGCATAATGCTTCCGTTTTCCGTCCCAGTGTATGAACCACCTCCCTACGCCCTTTCAGGTCTCAGCTTTTCGCAGCTGCCGATGTACACACAACGTTACCTGCGACTCATCGCATTGGTACCTCCTGATGTCGCTGAAGTGGACTCTATTTCGGACGAACGCTCAACCATATCAATGGCTCTCTTCAGGAGTCTCATAGGGAATGACAGGGCCCTCGTTCGCCAGCGGGATGATGCCATCGCCATGGCCCGCAAACTTCAAAGAGACATCCCGTCTCAGGAAACTACACAGTGGCACTTGGAACAGCAGGACATGCGCATCCAATTTGTCTTTGGTACATTGCTGCCAGAGCGAAAGCTCATCTTCAACGAATTCATGATCAAGTTTGACGCGCTTGTCTGGCTAGATCAAAGAATATGGAAGAATCGTACCTCTGAGTATTGGCAGAGGTACAGGGACGCGCTGCTGGAACCCATTCTTGACCATACAAGCACACAGCTTACCTGGATCGCGCAGGGCAAATCCGTCATGAATATGCACGTGATCAATGGATATACCTACCAGGCGCCTTCCTTACCATACTCACCATTGGGTTCATCCCGTGCAAGCCGCGCACGATTCAGGAGATCTGCAGCCCGTGGACCTGAATCCAGAGAGGATCGACACAGGGGATGTTGAGCCGGCATTCATAAAGGACTTAGGTATTATACTGTCCACAAATTGAACAATCGAACATTTCATTATGCGACGAAGCACACTCATTAACGCTGTTACATACATACTCCTATGTAGTCGGTTCCACTAGGATGCCTGTACAGCATTGTAATCGTTATCTCTCCAGTGATGTGGAGTATTATGCCGTGTGCGTATGCCTCAAGTGGAAAGAAAATCGAACTGCTTCTTAATCCCCTGATCGACCTCGTAGTGGCAAATCGTCGGAATCAAAAACATTTCGGCACCATTCAACTCACAAAAGGTAAAAAGTTTGCTTCATCGTCAAGGTATCCTCTGCGGGGATGAGAAGTCGTCAATAATGTTATTGAAGAACAGGCAGCAGGCTAAATCGACAATCGATGGGGTATCAGAAATGGTACAATACAAACAGGTTTCGAAACCATCAGGTGATGTAAATTATTGCGAAGCTTGACCAAATTATGAAGGAAGAAAGAGTAAGGGAGATCGAATACAGTAATAACCAACGCTGCAGAAAGCGAAACAATATTGACATAGCATCTGGCGTAAACTAACAGGGGGACAATATTTGCAATGGATCGTAGGCGAAGAGGCTTTGGGTATGAGTTGTTGAATCCGAGATGGTTCATGGGCCACCCCGGAGAAGTGGAGGGAGCGAACAGTTGGGTGGCAGTGGCGCAGCAATATTGACGGAGTGGCAAGCCTCCGCCACCCGCTCACGCAAGTCGTCGCATTTGCTCAATAACACTAAGAATCCCGATCAGATCAGTGATGATGATGAGAAACTTATATCACTGACTTGGGCAAGGCCACAACGTATTCAGCACGTCGACTGGTACTATGACGTCCTTGGCAACTTCCAAAGCATCAAGAAGTGACTTGTCCTCCTCCCACAAAGCAAGACATCTGGTTGCCGTATTGAGCAGGCGAAGTCTCTAAATGCATGCTGGACTTACATTGCTACTTGGCTTGCAAACCAAGTAACCTGGAACGGCTGCCTGGTGAAAAGATGGCCGTCTTGATCCCCGAGATGATGAATTGACATTTTAACTCTGCGAATGAAGAGGCTCTGGTAGTACACTGCCATTGCCAACATCACAATCAATCAACACATCCTGCAAATAGAGCCACTTACGCCACTGCTCAGCCTGCTTACGATTGAACTGAGGGGAATTTCCAGCCTCGGCATGGCCACTAGATACGCCACCATCAGCACGTCTGACGTCATACCAGAAATATATACTTACGCTCGTAAAATCTGGGTAATTATGATCTGTGTGCTGCAGCAAGTTATTATTATCAATGGAAAACACTAAGGGGACGAAATAGACGTACTTGTAGACGTACTCCCGACACATGTACAACAATGCCATATCGAGGTTGCAAGTGTGGGAATCCAAGGCATCCTGGATTTCAAGGGTTTCTGACCAAGCTTCAACCGCAAGGTCGGTCGTCTCTGTGTTGCTAAAAGCATTTTTCCGGAGACGGGTGGTACAGAAAATCCAAAGGAGCATGCTGCGGCAATAGAGCGCCCATATTGATTCTTTCGAAGACTGCGCCTTGTGCTCGTTGGACCCTCGTTGTGATATCTCACCAGGAAACAGTAACCGGAACTGTACAACTGTCAGCCTAAGCTAAATGCATGGATAAGGAACAAACATTAGAAGGATCGGTTAGGAAGAGATCGCTCGGCTCTTTCTGGAATGCGATGCAATGTGACGTGTACCTAGCCACGAGGTTAAGGGCGCTCCAACACAGCCTCCTGCAAGATTCCTTGTGCATCTCCTCAGGGGTCCATGAGGGATCCCAAGGTGGTGTGAAAGACCATGAGGACGAAAACTGCTCCGTAGCGATGGATGAATTTGGAAGGGGGATACAGTCGCACTTGCGAGAAATTGCATGAGGGGTACGGACCCCATCCTTAGACATTTGATCAAAGGGGCGGCGTCTGTGAGTGATGGGTACAGCGTTAGGGGTGAATGTCGACACGTCTGGTTCATTACTGTCCAAGAACGTCAAGCCTAATTGGCGGACAATTCCATCGAGATAGGCTAGAGAACGTCTCGCGCGTTCGGGCGTATAGAGTGGGTGAGCCGAGGACTCATACATAGCGATGATCTGGATAGAACGTAAGCGACAGTTGAGAGAAGAAACTGGAAGCACTTACAAGAGCAGCCTTCGCAAGGGTTATGTCTATCCATTGAGAATTCAGTGACGCTTCCAGCCAAGCCTGCGCCTTATCGCGAAGCCAGACCGCGCGCTCCCGACCTGCAGACCCCAATTCCATCTCACTCGATTTCATTAGGGTGGCTAAAGCCAACCCCGCAAAAACAAGTGAAGGTTGCATAAGCGAACGTTCTTCAGGGTTGTATAGGCTGTGAACGAAGTCTGGAACATTCACGAATGATAACCAGTATCCGCTAGCGGTGAACCTTGACAAAGATTAAATCAAACTAATGGAGTGCGTCAGTCGATGACCTACAATGTTGAGAGATCTGATGTTATGTCCTTTAAACTGATAAATAAAGTATAATTTAATTAGTCTATTCATGCAATCGATAATGCAAATGACGTACGACTGATCCCGAGTAGTGGAGTAGCTCATAACCAAATTATCCCACCACTCCTTGCGACTATATTGTACGGAGGGCGTTGATGTGATGCGATACTTCTCCACTTGATGCTGGACAAATAGTGATCAAGTCAAAAAAATGTTCAGCAGATGAAAAAAACATGGCGAGCTAAACGTACTGGATAGCTGTCGTCTGAGGCTGCACGCGTTTGCATAGACGAAGAAAAATCAGGGCCAGCAGGTGAAAGTGAGGGTTGGAGTCGAATTCTATCCCCATCAGGCCGCAAAGCGGGAACATTGGAAAGCCCACGAGACTCCCGCGGAAGCTCGAAGTCGTCATTCCTGACTGAAGAGCGTTTCCGCTTGGACGGAAGGGAAGGAGGAGATGAGCCATCGGTCGGACGTTTCTTACATGAGCGCTGGCGAGTGCCTGGCCTTTTATCAGGCCCTCGCCGTTTAGGTGCTGCATCGTATTGGCACTCATTCGAGCGGCGCACACAATTATGACAAATTGGTCTCGTGGAGTCGCACCGAATTTTCCTCGCACGACTTAGGAACCACGTGAATGAGCAGCCTGAAAGAAGAATACGAATGAACACACCATTGCCGACAAGCTATCACTTGATTGGAAATTTCTCTGCGGGGCGGATCTTGGGATGTAGATGCTGCTGGCTGTGGTTGAGGGGTTGACTCTGAGATTGGGACAGAGGATCGAGTGCTCTCTGGAGTTTGTATTACAGGGGGTTGTGCTGAGCCACCGCCTGAAGGGTAAGATTGCGGACGCAAGTCCTCGGCAGAATATCTTCGATTTGGGGGGCCTTGGTAGGACAAATTGACGGCGCCACCATGAGCTGGAGGGGGCGGAAGGCGGGTGTTGGGGTAGGCATGGGGCGGTAGGTCAAGGCCAAGGTGATTTCTTTGTGAGAGAGGAAACTCTGACTGATATGTATTGTGGTGGTGAGGATTCTGATTTGAATGAATATTCAAAGGGGTGTCGATGAGGTGAGGGTGCGAGTGGATGCTGATATTGGTGTAATCGAACTGAGAGGCTAGGATACCCGCTGCATGATGTATATCTAGTTGATCTTGATGATAGCGGACTTTATTGTAGACAACATGTGAAATGACGATTAACGTTGTTTTGAAAAGACTACGAGTTCTGATAGGACTTACTGTCTCCGTGCGGCTGAGGAAATTGAGCCCCGAAGATGGGTGAGTGTAGGCCGGAGCCATCCTCACTGGACTGAGGACCGTCCTCCATCATGACGCTTTGCGGAAATGGAGTGTAGATATCACTGTCTGTGCTGATGACCATAAGTACTGAAAGAAGGGGGATGAGAGTTTAGAAGGAAAATGGAAAGTGGTAATACGGCACTGGTTTTCGATGCTTTGCCACGCGAGACTTAGTTGTAAAACTTGAAGGAGAAAGTGCTTGCTAAGGGGAACACATGCCCACGGCAAGCTCAATGATTATCAAATCTTGATACAATCAAACAAGAGATATTATGATACATTTTATATTTTATATTTTATCTTGAATATCTCTATGAAAAGGGGGAAAATCTTCCACCTCCTGGAATTCTTTCCGTGGGGTGCAACTTGCTTTTTTCCATCATATTCATACCCACGACACAACTTCGGGGCCGCATGATTTCTTGAGCACCGTGTACGCGTGCCTGGTTGTCAGGTGTTCCGAACAAAACTCTAATTATTTTCCTCTACTTTTGTTCTCAACCTGGCTCATTGCACAAATTACTAAATTTGAACACCCCTTCTCACATCAGAATCGACTATCTTGCTCAATCTTGCTCAATTTTCAATATCAACATCCATTACATTCCGCGTAGCCTCAATCCGGGTTATCTCCTTCAATATTCACAGTCCTGCGCATTTGTTTTTTTTAAAAATTCATCATTTATCTCTCTCTCCCCCCCAACTCAAACTCTTCAGGGTCAGTTTGACTCCCTTCATTCTGCTTGTCAATCGGACTTCCGACCGCACCTTCCCGCGACGATTAACGACCGTCAGCCTGATTGCGCCACGTCTGAAAACTTTAAAATTAGCCGGATAGCCGTGCTAAATTTGGAAGGTATCGTACACGGCACAAAAGACACTTAAGCGCTGTTAAGTTCCTCGTCGTAAATCTGCGATTGAGGGGATTAGATACCCTACGGTTGGATACCCCACACAGATGGCAGAGAACTGCGGTTACATCGCACAAAACTGCTCATTCAGGCTGATTTCGATCACGGCTAGACACGTCAGCGCGGGGGATTCTCTGGGATCTTGGTGTGTGGAGTCCAATGTGATTCGTTACTTACGTCAAATCCTATCCTGTGCGATCACCGTCTCTCGTTGACCTCGTGCAGGCCCATGCTAGTGTGAAACGTCCTATAGCTACTCCAACTAGAAGACGGCATAAGTTCACCGTAATTTTCAATGCCACTTCACGAAAACATACTAGTACTGCCATCGTTACAAATGAGATTAGTACCCGTACTATTTACGGCTCGGGTGCCTGTCACTCAGAGGGCAACGGGGTACAGGATACGGAGTGCAAGTTGGTGCCGTGCAAGGCTTTTCTTTAGAGCCACCATCGCGAGCCTTCAGGGCAGTCACCTTTGGTTTCACAGGCGCCGGCCACTGGGCGCATGCTTTCGAAATGATAAGCCAAATTAGAATACTTATGCTCTTTAATGCAAAACGTAGGTTAAATTGAAGGGTGGCTGTGACGCGTGACGAAACTGGGCGTTGACCTACCGTGCAGGACATTTGTATGGACATCCTTCTCCTCCGTAAAATAAGTCGACCTGACAGTCAGTCGGACTGTTACAGCTATACAGCTTTGCCTGCAAACCGTTTATTTGATTGTCTAATCGTACAAATTCCAACATTCACAATTGACACCGAAATTGCTGTATATGGTATCCTCTGTATTCGGGGATACAGCTGTCCTCGTGTCTTGCCTCATCCATGTTCAATTTCTTGTTCTCGTGTTGTGTTCGTCAGCGTCGGCGCAACCTAGTGTGTATAATGAAACATCTCATGGAATCAATATACCTAACAATTCAGTAGACAGTTCCCGATGAACGCACCTTCTTAATCCCCGCCACAACCGCAAGTGAGACTCCTACGCAAGTTCCGCACTTTACTCTTCACTATCTATTTCTCAAAGTCAGAACAGGCCTCAGCCGCGGGTGGTTGACCATCAGAAGCTAAAAGAGCGGTTGGGTACCGTCGTGCGATCAAAAGAAGGGTGCGTTTCCTTTGCCTCCACGACGTTATTTCCTTCCCCTACAGCCTGCTTTCTGACGTTGTCACACAGAAAAATGGTGAATGTGAATGCCGCCTTCCCATTTAACCTTCACAACCAGTCGCTTGGCGACCCTCCGTCTCGTAGTGTCTCAGGCGGAACCTTGGATAGCAGTCGGCGGGCCTCACGATCTCCTGCACGTGATTCCCTACACACGAGGTATTCGAGCACTTCACTACGCCAGGATGCGGAAGGCTCCGCGTCTCAGGGCAATGACGCAGTGGAAGGGAGAGGTGATCCGTACAAGCCAATATTAAATGTTAGGCTTGTATCGACTGTTGTGAGCAATGTTGCAAACAGGCCAATTAATGGCATCTCTCGGGGGCGACCAGGACGTGGGATCGAACATGGACGGGTGATGGTTGTCAGTGCTGACCACATTTCACATCCTGACGAGGATGACGATGAACATGACAATGTAGCTGAAGACAATGATGCGCTGACACCTCGCCGGCAGACGCACACGTCTGATGGGGATGCAAGTAATTCGTCTGATAGTGTGAGTTCTTAATCTATAGTTTACATCCTGTGACCCTAACCCGTTCTGCCCACAAGAATCCCTCCGAGTTGTCTTGTGATGCCAATGTCATACATACCGAGGATTTCACAATTCGTGACGCTGGTGCTATATCACGTTCCTGGGGTGACTGAATGCTCCCATTCTTTTTTCCAAAGTCTGCGTGTTCGTGCCGGAACTTGGTCGTCCATGTAAGGTAGTACATAACCCTTGCATGTATTTCCGCGGGGTACTGCAAGGATTGTTCCGCATAGTCGATCTCTGCCGGATCTAATTTCACGCTACATCTGGTTGGTATTTGCCCATATACAAGTTACGGGCCGATTCATTAGTCAATGTTCTCGTCGGAGCCTAGGATGAGAGCCACACAGCTATCTTTGTTTGAATAATTGAACAACACACTAAAATAACGGCACAGATGGGACCATGAGTTCCCTATATTATCTTTGGAATTCATGTGTCCCCCGCACTGCGCTCTAGACCCTCAACATTACTTGGGCAGTAAATCGTGGTTGACGGTGAGCACGGTGCTGACCAGCCATGGGCAGGTGATCCACAAGAACATCAGAGCAGGGTCGCAATGGCTCAAGTAGACGACATCCCTTAAGAAAAGATATGTTTTTAGACGTCCATTTGTTGCAATTTGAGGTTCTATTGTAAAAGGTTCATCCGCAAGGCTGGGCGGGCGGTGGACGGGTTTTCATTCTCATCGGCGCCCGTACGTATGAGATTAAGAGTCAACTCAGGTGCGTTATTTGCTAGGTGCTCCGACGATGAACTTTAAAATGACGCGATCCACAGGTGTTACGGGCTGTTAAGGGAACGGCAGCCAGCCCTGAAAGGCCTGAAGCTTCACAGGAAAAATCTCGCAGGCCCAGACTTCGCGGATCATTGCGACATCGAAGATCATTCGCTCTAACTTAAGTTCATTCCTGAACGTGAACGCGTAAACACTGAACCATAACACGTGAGTACTTTTGAGTTTGTGTATGGAGATATAGGATTCCGCGCCCTGCCATCCCCACGATTTTCCCAACAAAGTTTGTTGCCACGGCTGTTGCCGCAGAGCTGCTATCCGTGCTAGATATGACGCTTTATGCTCACGATTCCAGATGAGCGTGGCAGCGCGCGCGTCCACCGTGAACTCCGCAGGATGCCGAAACCAGTTTTAGAGTTATGTCCATTAGATCCTTAATCATTTAGTTGAGGGTGGAAAAGAAAGAAGAACTCATCTCAAGACTCAACTCATCAGGACGCCCACTGAAACTTGACTATGCTTCCGATATTTACTGGGGAAATTTTTGTGCGGTAAGTCTAAGGGGTATGATTCATGAGCGCTCTGATACATTTGTCATAGATGAAACACAGTAACCTTAGTTGAACGTGGACGGGACATACCGTAGTGTATATGATCTGAACCATATGCACTTGTGACTGATCGGCAGTCCCTCCCCCTTCACTGGCACAGCCGGAAAATACAGAATGACGATGGTTCCTTATCACGACTTTTGGCGGCGTCCAAAACGATACTGGCCTAGCTCATAGCACATCGCGAACAAAGCTAACTCCACAAGGAATCCGAATTTCATATAACTTGCATTTACTGCACAGTTGCCAAACGAGTCGGGTTTTTCTCATTATCTCGAACAACAACTGGGCGTGCTTCTATTTACGGAAGGATGTTGCACCATTGAGAAACACCATATGATCGCTATTGTCCTCTCCGCATTACATGCACGCTTCTCGGTTGTCATCTTATGGTTTTGTGGCATGGCGACTTGGGGTACGATCTAATAAGATAACAAGAAACTGATTTTTGATTCGCTCGGAGCAACCTTCCCGGCTATACTTTGGACGCAAACTCATTTTGATTTGATGGAGCCAGAATCTCGAAGAAATGCGCAAAGTAAAACCGTACTAGTGAGTCGATATGATTGGCGGGTATATTCATCATCCAAAGAACACCGCCAGGACTTGGTCCAGCGCACAAATATCTCATTTCTTTATGGAGTGATATATTGGGACCTACAAGGTTCGTTCCGAGTTGGAGGTAAGTCAAATTATTTGGTCATGTATGAACAATTCAGTTATGACCATAGATCTTATCCGGCATTGACCTGCTCTACCGCTCGGACCTTTCCAACAACCTCGCGCATTTCATATTTTAGCCATCTGCGTGCATTTGTCCTGATATATTCCAGCCACCCTTATCGATCGTATCGCCTCGCAATCGCCCATTGTCCTACTTCTCTATAATTCAACAAGCTATGAATTCACTCATGTATTTCACTCTCTGACTCGCAATGCATGCATTCTCTCACGACAAGCTCAGATACGTCCCGGTCTTCACCATCTTTCTGCTAGCTTCGGTTCGTACATGAATCATCGACCACACCCTCTTCCACTGAATTGGAAGCTTCGTCATTTCATCGGCAATATCCCTTCTTGTATATGCAAGCCCAGCTCTCTACCAAGATTACTCAAAGACGTCGTTGCGGTGGCGGACCTGCGGAGCGCATGTAGGAGCAGAGAGTTGCTTGAGGTCAATTCTGCTGGCAGAACTGTGCCACGAAGAATATAAGGATATTCACATCCCGAAACTATCCATAATGGTGGGGAGCGAGTCCACCACTGCGATTTCGTCGTCAACAGATTAAGTGGCACAAGTCCTTGATTAACACACTTAAATTCAAAAAAAAGACAATATCAACCTCAAATTACCATACCTCGTTCCGTCGGCCAGCAATTGTTCCACCGCTCCAGTATCACGAATGCTGTTTCGATCTGCATATAGATTCCGGACCGGCGAGATCGTTGTCGAGCGGCGTTTCCCAAATAGAATCGGTCGCCGTTCGAAGGACCGGTGGCAGAAATAACGCCCAGAGTTCAAGTCGGTGTAGATCCTGTTGGTGCGTTAATATTATACTTGTGAAAGAGGACAAAAGAGGTTTGGGCGTACTTGTGAGTCTGGCTTCTACGGACTGTGGAGTTGATTGTGCATCTAAAGTGACCCTTGTTGATGTTGAGCATTCCAACTTCGACTATGTTAGCATTCCTTTTTGTTTGTTCTCTCGGACTCTATACCGTACCATATAATCTTGATGTGTCGCATTGTTTGTACCTCAGCGGTTTATCTCCAACGCTGAGGTACAGTTCATATTTTTCTTCTCGCCGGCTTTTACTTATGACTTTTCGTCTCTAGACTTCTGTCATAGGTATTATTAATACTCAGCGGTTTATCTCCAACGCTGAGACTTCTGTCATAGTCTATTTGTCAACAGGTTATGAGCCCTGGCCTTTGAGCCATCAGACGAGACTATCAGACAACACGCGTTTACCCACCGCTCCTATACTCTGTCTAACCCCACGACGGTATCGTCATGGGAAAACTTGATCATATTCCCGAGCTGCTTGGAACGGAAAACTACGTCGGATGGGCAACCAAGATGCAGTACGCACTTGCGTGCGAGGATCACTGGTGCCACGTCAATACGAGAGCCGAACCAGGAGATCTTCTCGGTCAACCATCTCACATGCCCGCGCCTGTTGTTCCAGCGAACCCCACAGCCGCCGAAACGGCGGCAATGCGTGAATGGCTACTGGAAGACATGAAGGCTAAGGAACTTATAACTCGACGCCTCAGCTCATCTGTTTCGTCACTCATCCCGCGCACACACACAGTCACGGCACGCAAGGCATGGCAAATACTGCAGGAACATTTCAACCGTACCGACATGAGCGCTCAGTATCTGCTCAGACAGCAGGTTCAAGCGCTGCGCATGAAGGACTCTGCAGATGCCACCAATTATGTCGCGCAACACGCTGTCTTCCGCGAAAGGTTACTTGATGCGGGTGCACCCTGGGGTGAGACCGACGCAATCTATCACATGCTGATGGGGCTTCCTCAAACGCCCATATGGCAACAATTTAAATCCCTGCTTGAACAGCGAATGCATGATGAGTCCATGGCCACGACTCCACCGGCCGTACCGACTTTCACCTTTGAGTCTTGTGTCTCCCGTATCACCTCCGAGGCTGCACGACATGTTGTCACTCGTCACGCTCACACCTCCCGTCCAGGATCAGAGTATGCGAACGCAGTCACCACGTCGACCACGTCTGCTTCCGGAGTGAACTCAATAACGGGCTTGCGCATGCACAAGCACAATCCTCAGGGAATATTTTGCACCACTCCAGGGTGCAACAAAGGTGACCACGACCACGCGCATTGCTATGGCAAGGGCGGGGGAATGGAGGGACAGGCGCCATGGATGCGGAATAAGAAACCTAACATTGCAGCAGCAGGCACTGCAGCTGCTCCAGCCGCCGCACCTGCACCAACTCCTCCTGCACCCATTATCGCCGCTGCAGCCACAGACATTGCCAGCCTAATGCAGGATCTCTCCTTTGCGTCTATCTCTGAGATTCCAGACGAAATCGCATGTGCCGCCAGCCTTCCTTTCGCCACCATACTGGACTCCGGGACTACTGTTAACCTAGTCAAGGACTGTCGATTCTTTCACACATACACTACTGAAAACCCCGTTGACGTTCTCACTGCCAATCACGGCGTATTACGAACGATGGGACGCGGAACTTGCATAGTTTGGTTTACCATTGGCAAACGTCGCATTCGCATCCGGCTTTCAAATTGCCTTCATGCACCAGGTGCGTTACTCAACTTACTCTCTGTCTCATGCATGAACGCCAAGGGATGGGATGTAAGTTTTCGCGCGAACATGATGTGCGAACTCACGTACAAAGGCACCCCGCTTGGTTTCATTCCGGCCACAGGCAAATTGTACGCGGTAGACTTTGAGTTCATCCCTTTCACGCCATCCTCCCCCATCATCACACCTGCACCAGAGTTCACGGCTTTTTCAGACGTTCCACTCTCGTTAGACCTTTGGCACGCACGCATCGGGCATATCGGAAAAGACGCAGTCACGCGTCTCTCCCGTGTGGCAAAGGGAGTATCTGTTCAGTCTTCTGCACCGCTCTCTCACTGCGAATCCTGCATCCTTGCTAAGCACCCCCGTCAACCTTTCAACTCCTCTGAGACCGCACGTGCGGTGGCATTCCTGGACCTGATCCACAGCGACGTTTGCGGTCCCATTCCAACAGTCACCCCGCACGGGAAACATTATTTTGTGATCTTCCTGGATGATCATACACATGCCCTCGACTTACAGCTGCTCGCTTCGAAAGACCAAGCCTTAGAGGCTTGGCGTACCCTACGGGCACGATGGGAGACTATGTCTGGTCTGAGGGTGAAGGTTTTCCGCAGTGACAACGGCGGGGAGTTCATGAATGAGGCATTCACTCGAAATCTCGAGGAAACAGGCGTCCAGCGTCAACGCTCTGCCCCCTATGCTCACCAGCAGAACGGGAAGGCAGAGAGGGTGATGCGTACGATCGAAGGTCGTATGTATGCGATGCTGGACTTCGCACGTTTACCTCGAGGCCTCTGGGGAGAAGCTGCTCTTACAGCGTGCTATCTGTTTAACCGCACCGAGTCTCGTGCGCTGCCCCCAGGTAAAACTCCCTATGAAATGTTGCACGGTGTGCAACCGAATCTCGCTCATCTGCGAGTCTTTGGAGCACGCTGCTTCGCGCGGATTCCCCCAGAACTGCAAGAGAAACTCGGTCCTCGCTCACGCGAGGCAGTCTTCATGGGATATCCTCCTGGCGTCAAGGCTTGGCGTTGCCGGGATGCAGCGTCTGGAACTTTCTTCAACTCCAGGGATGTTATATTCGATGAAGGGTTGTCTAATCGTCCATTTCCAGACAGCGATGACGAGGACGACGAGGCACCTGCGCGACATATTCCTAAGTCTATACCTGCACCCTTGCCTCCTGCACCTGCACCCTTACCTCCTGCACCTGCACCTCCGGAGAAACCTCCCCCCCATTCAGACGCTATCCGGCGCTCAGCACGCATTCCAGTGCCCACGACAAAGGGTCAAATTTTCAAGGGCCTTCTGGCTGCTGACAAAGCGCGCTTGGCTCATCAACGAGAGGTCCGGCTTGCCCGCATCAACGGGACTCCTCCTCCTTCTCCCACCGAAGCTCCTTCATCAGTTGCGCCAATTGTACCTGCGCCAACACCAATGCCGACACCCCCCCCTCCAGACCCTGTGGATCCAGATGCGATCACTACCGACGATGAAGAGGTTGGATTCCCTCAAGTAATCGCCGGTCTGATCGCAACAGAGGTTGCTTGCCTCTCCATTCGGAGTGACACTCGCCGGAACCCACTAGCACACGACTACGACCTGAAGATTCCTCCGGCGACGTTCGATGAAGCTATACGCAGGCCTGACTGTGACCACTGGCTCTCAGCCATGAGAAAAGAAATGAATCTCATGTCCGAAATGTGCGTATATGAGCTCGTCGAACTCCCGGCTGGTCGTAGGGCGATCGGCTGTCGCTGGGTCCTTGAATTCAAGAGTGATCTAAAGGGTGGGGCCCGTGTTTAAAGCACGCCTCGTGGCGCAGGGGTTCTCGCAGATTCCCGGTGTTGACTTCGGGAAGACATTCGCTCCGGTCGCCAAATCAGCCTCCATCCGTGTTCTTGCCGCTTACTGTGTGATGCACGACTGGGAGCTCGATTGCTTTGACGCAAAACGCGCGTTTCTGTGGGGTAAGTTGCAAGAAGATGTCTATATGCGTCAACCCCCTGGATTCGAGCGTCTCGGCGACAACCACATGCGACTGGTCTGCCATCTGCTTTCCTCGCTCTACGGGCTTAAGCAAGCCGCGTACGATTGGTACGAACTGCTTCGTGCGGTGCTAACGTCCCTCGGCTTCCTTCGATGCGAAGCGGATTATGCAGTCTTTGTATTCGACCACGTCAACGGCGAGGGGTCACGTGTGATCTGCGTCATAGCCTGGCATGTGGACGATGGCCTTGCCGGCTCAAATAATCGTCTATTCCTTGATTGCACGAAGGAGGCGATTGCGACTCGCTTCGGCATATCGGATCTTGGTCCTGTCACCAAGTATCTGGGAATTCAGTTCGCCAGAAACCGTCAGACACGCGAGCTGTGGCTCCACCAGGAAGACTACATCACGTACCTGTTGGAGGAACACGGCATGACAACCTGCAATCCTGTCTCCCTTCCAATGGACCCGAACTTTCCATTCGGGCGTCCCACAGATGTTCATCCGCATGTTGATGACTTACAGGTCGAGTATCGAAAGCTTGTCGGCGAGCTTCTTTATCTTGCAATGTACACTCGACCTGACATAGCTCTTGCGGTGATGCGACTTGCTCAACACAACGTCTCTGCCGAACCACGTCACTATTCAGCGGCGAAGCACGTCCTCCGGTACCTCGCAGGCACCCTTAGGATGCACGTCCATTACGGTGGCGCGTCAGTCAATCCTGAGCTACACAGATTCAGCGACTCTGATTGGGCATCGAGTCCATAGGATTTCCATCTCAGGCTACGTCTGGTTCCTGAATGGGGGGCCAGTGTCTCATTCCGCAAAGAAGCAAACGACACACGCGCTCTCCTCGACGGAAGCGGAGTACATGGCGCTGACGGCTGCGATTCAGGATGGTCTTTGGCTCCAATCATTCCTCGGATGTCTCTCAATCCCCTTATCTCTTCCCCTGCGTTTGTTCGCTGACAATGCAGGGGCCATCGCACTATCCAAGGACGCAGCAAATCATATTCGCACTAAACATATCGACCTACGCTATCATTTCATTCGTCGACACGTCGAAAACGGCACCTTCCTACCTATCTGGTTGTCGACTCACAAGAATACAGCAGATATATTCACCAAGGTACTGCCGCGACCATCGTTCATCATTCATCGCGTGGGTCTTGCACTTGTGTCGCATTGAGAGGGTGTTGTATTGTTGTTACATCGTCTCGTTGAGGGGGTGTGTTGATGTTGAGCATTCCAACTTCGACTATGTTAGCATTCCTTTTTGTTTGTTCTCTCGGACTCTATACCGTACCATATAATCTTGATGTGTCGCATTGTTTGTACCTCAGCGGTTTATCTCCAACGCTGAGGTACAGTTCATATTTTTCTTCTCGCCGGCTTTTACTTATGACTTTTCGTCTCTAGACTTCTGTCATAGGTATTATTAATACTCAGCGGTTTATCTCCAACGCTGAGACTTCTGTCATAGTCTATTTGTCAACAACCCTTGCCGTGCTACCCATAGGATTCTGCCAACGAACTGCCTGTGACACGACGCTCCTAAAGCGTGTTATAGGGGTGCGCAGTACCATTTTGGTGTGGGCGGAGTTTTAATGCGTATTGCTTCAGACTTCTTTGCGACAACTCAAAGACAACTTGTCCACATTGTATTCCGCCCTCGAGAACATGGTACAATGACTACAATATATTGTGAGTTGAACTACTAAGAGAGTCTCAGCGTTTGAGAAGAAACCATTGATATTGATGATACCTAAGGAGAAGAGACGAACTAAGGCAAAGCTAGCGTGCAAGAGAAACATACACCTCAGCAAGCCGCTGAGGTAAGAGAGAAACATTATAAAGTCAAGTACGTATATAGGGTCCGTGATGACTAAGAGATAGTCATCCAACATAATATGCACAATTCAAGATGATATGCTAAAATATACAATAATAACATACGAATGTAGTAGTACAACTCCAAATTCCAGGCGTTGGTCACCGAAGAACATCAAAGGTCATGGGCGACTATATGCCTCATTATTGTCAAGGACGCCAACATCTCTGCACACCCAGATCAGTGTTGTACCACCAGGTAATTTAAAAATGGGCATACCGACTGCGAGGTGCGGATACGCCTCCTCGATGGTAAGCACGCACCCAGAGGAGTGGTCGTATTCTGGCTCTCCGGGTACTTTCAACGAATAAGACGCAACTTGCTGATTGCCTGTGTTTGTGCACTAAAAATTATGCATGAGATTTGAAAACGCACGTGGGAATTGGTACGTACCGTCCACTCTTCGCTCTGTGTGGTTCGCCAACTCCATCTGTACTGCTGACCATCGGACCCAATGAACTTCCTCGACTTTGCGCTGGATAATAGATAAGCTCGGAAAAAAAGCACCGTGGTCTAGACTTACTTCTCATTCGGAGATGGTTCCAGGAAGCTGTTCATGGGTACCTGCGGCCCTGACCCAAAGGTTATTGTTCCGAGGGAGTTGTTGGAGCCGAAGTTGAGGGTCACCACTGGATCGGTCCCTGCTGTTGTGGTGTAGATTATGTATGTTGTGTGTGTAGCTTCCCGAGTGGTGCACCGAAGTGTCAAGCGTAAACGATCATTGATGTCCACGAAGTGTGATCCTGTCAGCTTGCCCGTCTTATCCTCCAAGAGGTATGGCATTCCATAGCTTGTCATGATGAGGATTGAAGAACAGATTGTGTGGAAGGTTTCGGCGAGGGGATGATGAAGGAGGAATCCAGCTGCACCCCAGGTATTTCTGCAAGTTAGACATGGCAAGTCAAGAGCCTATTTCGGCAGCCATGACATGTCAGGAGACCGTCATGGTATCCGGGCGGTAGATAGGAGAGATTCGCACTTGGCATATAGCCGAGATAAAAAAAAAGACGTTAAGCGGAAAATTTATGAGATGGGCACGTTGAGTTCGGGCGCGCGACCTCGGACTCACCGATAGAGCCAGAAGGAGTGGAAGACATGCGAAAGAGGCAGCGTAGATCAAAGATTAAGCAAGGTGTTCGTCATGCACACTATTCGCGAGGACCTGACGATTGGGATAAATAATGTTCGTGCCTGTCATGACGTACCAAGGAGGACAGACTCTGAGAGATCTCAAGGGTCAATAGAGATGAAGCCTAAATTTCATCAGGTCCAGTTCGTTCATGGTCGATGAACCTGAAATCATGCGACCGGCGTGGTCTTACCTAATCCTTGTTTCATAGGAAATAGCACAGACCTAACGCGTTTTGGCCCTAGTACCAACATGTTTGTCAGGCGCTGGGACAAGCAACGAGGCAGAGTCAGGTGAGGCATCAACCGGATCGAGTGATACGGTGTGATTATCGCATGGGGGATATCTCGAAATTGAATACAGATCTGTAGCCAAGAATCTCAGGTATGACCGACATGCACGCCAATTCGTCATCAAGAATTTCATGGATCTTCACACCTTTGATCCCCGATTGACAGTGCCATGCTGCAATGGTGTGGCCCCAATGCGCATGTATCAGCGTCCAGCCCAAACTTGGTCAATCTCAGAACAAACTGCAGTTGACAATACCTAGAAGTTTCAAACGTATCTTTCGTTACGGCACATAGGTTCTAAAATTGTGCGGTCATTAGTGGCCTGTGCCATGATTCTTCCCCGAGAAGGCGAAAATTGATGAGTTAGTGCGGGGAAGAGGCATTGCAAGGTTCTAAGTGCGTAATATATGAACATACTAGCAGTCTGCTGCGGTGGCATGACATATTTCTTGAAGAAGACTCAGCCGAGTTAATCTCGTTCATGACGGGTACTCAGTCTGTCCCTTTGATTAAAGTCCCATCGCCGCCGATCTTCTCCGCGTTCTCTTTCGCGTGCAACTTCATCGTAATCCTTCACATGCCGAGGAGCATGAGGTGAGCGACTAGCTGGTAGAGGCGAACGACTGCGCCGCGGGCGACGATGCCTGCCGTGATCACCGTCTTTGCTGGGTTTAGGTGAGCGTGAACGGGTCCGTTCTCTACGGGAGCGTTGTTCGTAATCGGCATGGCGAGACTCTCGATGTGCCTCTTTGCGAGCTTTTTTTTGTTCCTTCCGTTCGGCTTTCTTACGGCGCTTTTCCTCTTTCTCTGAAGGATGCTGTCCACCATCTACAGCAAGGGTATGCGCCGGTCGTGATTGAACGCTTGAGGGGGCTTTTACAGCAGGAATGCTACCTGATGGTGCTGCGGCAAACCCACTGAGAAAGTCGTTCAATACCAGACTGATATGTTAAGGACAACACTTACAGTGCTGCAGCAAGCGCCTCTGCTTCCGCTTCCTTGATCTTTCTTATCTCTTCTTCCCTCTCAGACTCATCCTTGGCATCTCTATTATACCAGTGAACATCTTTATTCTTCTGCCATCTCCCGGTCGGGGCATTGATGCTGTGACCCAGATAGTTCTACTTGACAATTAATATCACTAGAATAAAACTTGTAACAGTCGACTAACCTCTCTGTCTTTGTCTGCGGAGACATCCGTCCACTTGAACTCTGCCTGGCCTCCTCGAGTGCCTCCCCGAATTGGTTCAAACATTGGAAAGAGAGTATCAAGGGAATCTTGGTACCCGGTTACCTGACCGAGGTACCGTGAGAACTTCATGAGCTACTTATACTTCCTTCCATTTCTCGGGGTAGGCATCGAGCCTCGTGTCCCAAGCTCTACTACAAACGTGCTATCTTGACGCCGGTATTGCATAGACTCGTCTTTTTCTTCATATACGCTCTGGGATATACCAGACCTACGCCCGGGTCTAACGTACACATTTCCCAGAATCGGACAGATGCTTCGATTGTTCTGATAGCACCTTGTTCATACGGAATGGCATTGGTCTGGCTATGGCACGAATCTTGTAGCTAAGCCTAATTCTGCTTTACATAAGTTATGTTGTTGAACGTGCATCTGGCCTCACCGATGTCGAACTGCACATGCAGGCTGTATGATACTTTTGCGAAATGATGTTGAGGCAGATTTCTTGAGGCGTTAACGTTAGTATCTGAGTCATAGATCGATCGCAAAGTCGTTATTTAAATGATGCGTCATTTTGATAAACCACGCGACTAGTAAGAGGCAGAATGTGGACGCCAGCGTGCAGTGCCATGCATCTGATTGTGTTACGCTGTAACGTTTAGCCCATGCTAATCAAAAGCTAGTCTGAGTGCAACTAACAAAGTATGCACGAGCCTCGTAACGCCGTATCTTGGTTCGACGCTTGCTTTGCTCTAGACTGCAGGAATACTATAAGATTGTTGCAAAGATTCCGATGTAATTACTACGTAGTAGGTGTGGAAGTTGTTTCCAGATTTTCAAAAATATTTTGCTGCTTTGTTCTCTTGTTACTTCTGCCATCATATCCGCTGGCTTCTTTCGTCCCAAATGCGCAGCTGCTGTATAATACACTGGAACGGTCAGAACACAGATCTGGGGCATCAAACGTTCATTTCGAACCCGGGTTGAACTTCGCGGCATTAGTCCGATAGGTGACCCCCATCAAAGTCGTGCCATCGCGGCAAGGGGCGCTGAGCACAATCCTGTATCTACGACATCCAATCACCATGCCACAACCAGTACTAGCGATTCGTCCTACGGCGGCCTCTACGAGGTTCCTGCATAACTTTCAGTGCCTTACTACGAATAACCGTGGCCGCTACTAGGCTGTTCTGCCTCCACTCTCGTGTCCACGCAAAGTCATTTTTCCGGGGTTGAGGCAAGTGACCTAACTATCGTCTCATGACCCGGGTATTCATTACTGCACGTCGTCGACGGTATTAGAACGCTTTACAGACACTAGGCTTTCCCCTGGTCGGTTTGGCTCAGCCTCATGATGAGTGCGGCGCATTCACTTATCCTGACCCAAATAAGGCAAGGTTTTAAATTATTCCAAGGTTTATCCGATTGAACAGGTTCAACAGAATTCTTGCACGATGGCTGCAGGTGTATTGCACGGAAAGCATCTAATTGCTCGAAGCATTTGCGCTGACCGAGTGCATGTTGCGTGTATTTCGATTTCGACTGCATTTTTTGCGGAACTATTTTCCTGATTTGAATTGACTAATTTGTCATCGATCGGTCACGAGGGCGCACGGGCCCTCGTGGCAAGAAACGGGGGTTTTGCTGCATGTGGAAATAGCCGAGCAGAACCTTCGTGTTCTCCTCAACCATCGTTTATCTGTCGCGCAAACGTCAAACGCACTTTACATTTGTCTCTTTCAATTCTGCGCCATCCTTGACGATGAGCAAAAAGGGCAATAAAACACAGCAACCAGAGACTAGCTACGCAGAACGTGATATCGTACTAGCCAAAGTACGCGGCTTTCCACCATGGCCAGGCATGGTATGTCGCGTCTTTTGATCTTTTTTGAAAGACATTCGTGCCAATGGCATGTACAGGTCGTGAACCCTGACACAGTCCCCTCCGCTGTGTCGAAGGAGCGCCCAGCAGGCAAAAAAACTACGTTCCACTGTGTCAGGTTCTTCCCCGCAGGCGACTAGTATGTCAGTATTGCTCGTTGTTTTTTACTTTATTAAACTTTGGTATCCAGTGCTTGGCTTGTGTCGAAAGATATCTCCAAGTTGAAGCAACATGAGATCGAAGCATATATCAACGAACCTCACAAGAAATCTGGCGACCTTCTGACAGGCTATCGGATTGCGCTGGACCCGTCAAAATGGGAAAAGGAACGTGAAAACGCAGACTTGGCAGCGGTAGAACAGGAGGACAATGCTCCTGTTGATCAGCTCGACAGCGACAATGAGGGCGATGGAACAAAAAAAACATCCAAAACCAAGAAACGAAAGCGGGAATCTGAGGTGCCTCCCCCCAAGCCCAAACCCAAGCCCAAGCCCAAAGGTGAGAAAAAGGCTCCCTCATCTAGAGGGAAGAAGAATGGTACCAAATCGAAGGAAATGGTTGAATCAGAGGACGATGGCGAGCCAGAAGCCGAAGCTGAGGAGGACGAGGAGGCAGGATCAAGCGCCAAGGCAGCCCCTCCCCCATCTAAGAAACCCAAACGAGAAAAGGAGGACGATGTCGATCGTATGTTCGCCGTCTACCATCACGCCACACCCTTTTTGCTCATTTTTCCATCCAGCTGCCTTGGAAGCGGACGTCGAAGCTAAGAAAGTCCGCGAATGGAGACACAGATTACAGAAGGCCCTTCTGGGGAGCAAAGGGTTGCCTCCAGTTGACGTATGTTCTATTTGTTATCGGCCAATCAGTCCTCAATCAACATTTCTCCAGGAAATGCCTGCTCTTGATCAACTTTTTTCGACTATCGAGAATTATGAACATCCCAATCTTATACTATACCTTTCAGTGCGTCCTGCATCCCATCGTTCATGTTTGCAACGTGTACTCATTGCTTCTGTGGCCTAAATTTTCATGCAGTTTTCCAAAATCGGTAAGGTCATGCGTCACATTGCTGCTTTATCCACGGATAAGGTTCCCCGCGACGACGAATTCAAGTTCCGGACACGAGCAAAGTCAATGGTCGACAAATGGCACGCTATTCTGGGCGCTAGCAAGGGAAATGAGAATACGGTTGAAAGCGTTGTCAACGGTGCGCCGGCAGATGCGAACGCTGCTGCAGAGAAGAAGGTCGATCTTATGCAGACGTCTACAGTGGAGAACGGCCCTTCCAATGCTGCGGACACATCGTTGGGCGATGTTACGATGACAGAAGCATGAAATACTCATAGGCCTCCTCAATGCATTCAAGCGTTGTCCTTGTCCTTTCATATTTTCTTTCCAACGTGACTTGTACCCTCGCGCTCGAGGCTACGACGTCAACTGTATCACTCACACGCTCATCGTTGAAGATATTTTACATTTTCATTTGACACATTATTTCCTTGTGATACATATGCGGTACATATGTTCCAATGCCATGCTACGTCGTATGCTCTTGCGTTGCGGAATTAGTTTGAGCGTTGATGTGAGCTGACTTCGTGCAGCTATTTGTGGAGCAGTTGGACTTTTTTTTAAGATAACCTTGCACACTAACATGATACTAGCGCTGAGCACACGGGTCAAATCAAACGTTCGCGTTATTGACCTAGTGCAGATCGTTGGGGACACTCCATATCTCATCCCACAGCACGAATATTTAGGCGCTTGAGCTTAGCGACTGTGACGTAGCAAATACGTCTTCACTTGAGCAACACGATTCACGAACCTGCCGCACGTGGTCATTTATTCGCATCGTTCGAAAATGGGCTTCATTATACAGGGCCTCAACCTACCCGGTCGACGCTCGCTCTTGGCTGCATGGGGGTCCTTGCATCCATGTGTATATGCCGCACGTTTATATTACTGCAAGAACCGACCAACAGCCGAAGTGGAAACATCGCGGCGTCGGATGCGCATGCAGCCTGGTGTGCGAGGTTATGCAAATTCATTTCTCGACAATCTTGAAGAGAACAAACCTTCAGGTTTCCGAGAAGCGCTAGTGAACTCCGGTGAGTGGCTTAATTTCGGTTAGTTGTGATGAGTTATGACCAGCCGCAGAGAGCATTTTGTCTTCAGCAGGTACTGTCCAGATCCATAATGGCTTTGGAGAAATATATTGAAAACATATGTTTAGACACCTCCCCGAAGCAACAGTCTGCGGGCCCTCTCGAAGTACAAGATCTTCCAGAAATACCGCCATTTCCCACTAGACCAACCCACCACATATCCTTGGAAGATATCACAACGTATATCCAACCACTTGTTTCGCGTCAGTGGACAGTCGGCCACATCTGCACAGGAGTCGATGAAAATGAAATACTCTCTCTGGACAGACATTACAAGTTCAAGGGCTTCAACGATGTCATGGACTTTGTTCAAGGAGTCGCAGACATCTCACGGGCAGAAAAGGCGCGTATCAAAGTTCCCTGCAATCTCCAAGATAATTGAGTCGTCACCTTCATACTAGCATCACGCTCGGATCGTGATTGAGTATAGCACCGTGGACATTGTCTCGCACACGCATTCGGCGTATGGCTTCGACCGCGTAGGAGAAGGAGAACTCGAGCCTAAGAAAGTTCCTGGGCTCACTCGTCGGGATGTTCGATTCGCTATCAAGATCGAGGAGTTGCACGAAACATTCAAGGAACGAGGGCGCACGGTGCAGTCTGTACCAGCAGATCTTACCCAGCTGCAGCACCGGTCTATGAAGTCAGTGCTACGAAGATATAGCCAAAAGTAGGCAGTCGCGAATACGAAGGATGTCCACAACACATCATCGAGAAATGCGATGCACTGATACGTTGGCTGTTGATCAATTGTCAAGATTTCAATAATAAGTCAAAGAAACGCCCTCAGAACTCGTTTTCTGGAATCCGCAATGTCGCTGGGGAGACGAGAAGATAGGTTGGGGCCTGTGTACGGACACAAAACCTGGTAGGGAAATGTCATCAAAATGTACGCGTCAAAATACACAGAGGACCATTCTTCAGATGCCAAGCAGCATACAGACTTGAAGGTCGTACGGACTCTTCTTAGGCTATGGAGGTCTCATTCCCCAGTTGGTTTTGTGTATAATTAGCAAGAGGATCACATCCGGTTAGAATGTTTAAAATGGTGAAATTCCCTCTGTTCAGAGCCGAGTAGAGATAAAGGACATCCAGAAGTTCATTAGAACGAAAACTTCCTTCTAGAAGCCTCTTTTTCATACTGCCCCTCTGCGAATCTGAGTTGTTCGCTGCTGTAGGTTGCGATATGCTTCATTATGTTCCTGTCCTCATTATCGCCACCTGGTAAACATGGAGTTACTGTAATAACAATGTCGCAATCATGGAAGTGTCAGGGAATGGTCATAACTTCATAACTATCCTTGTACTGTACTCTTCAAAATAAAGTAAGTGGTGCACAGTACGCACTGTCTTCCTCATCTCCATATTAGATCTGTGATTCTTTTATAATCATCGAGCACCTCTTCCTTGAATACTATGCGCTCTGCAGCGAGATCATGCTGCATATGCAGTTCACTCGTGGTTCCACTCAGAGGGACGATATTGTTTAGTTGGGCAAGTTTGAAGAGTACCTGCGCGGCCGTGACGTCTAGCTTATCGGCAAGAGAAGTGGTGTGCGAGTGTGTCAGTAACGCCGGGGAACCCGTCAGTGTCCAGAACGACCTATTCGAGTGACTGTCAACCATTGAAAAACTTTGCAATCCGAAAGTAACGCACTGGTAGACAATTCCATTCGCCTTACAGTACGCCCAAACCTCTTTGTCCCAGGCATTACCTTCAAACCACCTGTTTTGTACGATCTGCACCTTTCTTTCTTTTTCTAGCGCTTTCAGTACTCCAACGTCGTACACATTGCTAATTCCGATAGCGCGCACAGTCCCCTCATCTTGTGCAGCCATGAGCGTACGCCAGGCTTCTAGCGTTAAGGGCAAAGTTTGGAGAGGAGAGTGAAGAAGATAAGCATCGAGATATGACGTATGCAAGTTAATTAGTGATTTGGAAAGGGAACTTTTGATCTGGGCAGGGACACTGTCTCGGGGATTATATGGGAGGGGCTTGGTTGGGTCTTGACCATCAAAGGGGGTGAATCTAAGGAAGCTTCACTTCAAGCTGCTGAAGAAACCCTCGACTGAACCGACGTACTTTGTTTGGATGTAGACATCTTCTCGCTTTACACTATGCTTGTCTTGGAGAATCTCTAAGGCCTCTCCCACAAGATCTTCTCTGTAACATGCCTGGTATTAGATGAACCAACGAAGCACACTGCAATGCAATGCCCACCTGTAGTGTTTTGGCTGACATGCTACACAATTTGTTCATCACGAATAAAATTCGACCAACTTGGACACGTACCTGTGTCTACAGCTCGGAAGCCCTGCAGGAAGGCGCTTATCACAAGGTGAGCTGTTCTCTCTCCCTTCCTACTTGCAAATTCAGTATGTCGTATGCTTGCTGGCTGAAAGCTCACCATGCTGTTCCATAAATCAATTTCGGAGCTAAATTCATGCCAGGATTCGGTCTTGCAGAGCTGTCAGCAGGACTCGGTATAGTACAAGGTATAGGGCTCATAGGGCGGCGTTTGCATGCGGTGCATTGAGGAGTAAGTTACCGACTTCTGTTTCGCATCTAGTATATCTCGTGACGATTTGTCCTAGTTAGGAGAATCTAGTCTGCGCAAGAATGTGAACCCAAGTCGTGGCTGAACTTATGAATAAAACAAGATACGAATCCAAAGTCAGTGTAAACTCGACATTCGGTCTATCAGGGGACCTAGTACTCAAAAGTAAACGACCTTCACCTTCGCAGAGTTTCCGACATGGGTACCAAAGGCTTTCACCGTTCCTGTGTACGGTGCAAACTTTACATCGGCCTTCTTCTTTGCCCTCTCATCTTTCTTTATATCCTTGTCTACATCTGCATTCCGCCGCTTGAATGAGTGAAAGTCATCTTCGTCCGCACCAGCGTCTTGGCCTGTCCCAAAGAAAGTTGCGGTTCCAGATTGAGCTGCATCGCATGCGTGTTACTCGACTGATCACCGTAGATTGGTACCAAAATACATACCTTGTTTTCTCAATCCGCAATCCTTGGCCAAGTGAGACGTTTCGCCACAGAGTTTGCAGCAGCCTCCGTTTGGATAAACACCCTTGTCCTTGTTTTGTGGACAAGATGATGCCAAGTGACCCTTACCAGAACACACAAAACATGATGCAAATGGAAGAGGATGATGAGGGTCTTCTGGGGCGTTGCATCGCGAGAGAGTATGCTGATTTGAACCACACCTAACGAAACTGTCTAACCTGCTGTCGAAGCGAGAAGTAGAAAGAGGACGCACCGATAACATATTCCAACAGTTCTTTGTCTCGCTACACCACCACCACTACCGCCGGCTTCATTACGTATAGTAGGACAGTCTCTTGCAGTGTGTCCTTTTTGGCGACACGCAAAACAAGTAGTCTCTGCATATTTCTCCGCAATTCGTTTCTGACGTCTCGATTCGGAACGTTGAGCAGGATCTGGTCGAGCTACAAGCGTTCAGTACATGCTTGACTGCTCGCAGCAAAAGATCTACTCTTTGGTTTCCGTTTATCCTTCAGTTTCTTCTTGGGCTCGACTTTCGCTGTTCCAGGATCACCCGCGTCCTGTGCCTCGTCCTTACCCTCGCCCTCGCCACCACTTTCTTTTGGTTTTTTCGTCCGCTTTCTTTTCTTTTTGGGCGGAACTTGATTGTCGTGTGGTTGGCTTTCGGATGGTAGAGTGGACGTTGAAGCTTGTGGCTCTATTGGTTCTTCAAAGCCCGCTTCCACATGCGTGCGCTTTCGACCAAAATCTGTGATCCGCGTCATCGTTAGGTCCTCAGCTGATGGAGGCGTGCATAGTACTTGTAGCGGGCAAACTTTAAATTGCACCAAATTTTACGAACATTTTGGGAAAAATACCTCCTAAATTTATCGTCACTTCTGCAGCTACCTCGAATGATATCATGTTTCAGCTTGGTACATGGTTGCAGCTTGCACTGAGTTCATTGTTCAGCTGTTCTTCACACCCCACGATGAACGAAACAACAAATTGCATTGAAACATATCCTCCAAATTCCACAAAAATCTAGAATCAACGAAAAAAACTGGCATAGATGACACAGACAATTAAAATCGACGACGCAATCCTGTTAGCCCTACCAAATTATCGACCTATATTCTAAAGCCATTCCTTGAACGCGAGTTGATAAAGCGTCTTGGCAATATGCACGACCAAAGCATAGCCAGATATCATCCCTAACAGGTACGCGTAGAACAGGGGATCAGGCGGAGTCAACTGCAGGGCAGTGTTGATTTTCGGTATGTATGGGATCGCAATAGCAATACCAGCGATACCAAAGGTGGTGCAAAAGACCGAGATCGATGCATGGGACTGGATGAAGGGAAGCTTGCCCGTTCGCAAGAAGTGAATAATCAACAGCTTATCCCGTTATCATCAGTATGTATTTCGAATTTGTACAACTTTAATGAGATCGTACCTGTGTCAAAGATCCCTCGAGAAACCAATTCGTCTGTGCAAGGTCAACGCGTGGGTTGTGGAGCGTACGAATGCCGTAGTGGAACCTGGAGCCGCCCGGTAAAGGACGATTGTTGATCACGCACGGATCTACTCACCAGTTGATAGAGAATGTGATTATATCAAAAGGGCTTGAGAAGGGACCTATGCAAACCATGAAACGAATGATCGATTTCGCTCCCCATGTCTTCGGGGCCACCAAGTACTCGGGGTCAACATTATCCCTAACATATACTGTTCGGCGTCAGATGTTCGACTAGATGTGGTGATGCATACCAGGGAATTGATGCCTGAGAGAAATCATACAACAAATTCTGTACGAGGATCTGTATGGGGAGCATAGGCTGGTATGGAAGCCACGCAGAAGCAACTTCAAAAACATGCCGCATCAGTGTGCATCGGTATGAAAGACCAGGAATGGACACATACCCAACAGCGAAAATATATTACCGAAGTTGGAAGAGGTCGCCATCTTGATGTACTTCAGTGTGTTCATGAGCCTACGTCTCATTCAGCGTTCTGCGCAAAAGCTCGCCCCAGATGCACTCACGTAATCCTCCCCTCCATCACACCGTCAGCGACAACAGCCAGGTTCTTCTCAAGTAAGATCACATCTGCCGCCTCTTTCGCAATTTCGGTTCCTGAATCTACCGAGATCCCGACGTCTGCGCCGCGTATAGCAAGAGCATCGTTGACGCCATCTCCCAAGAAGGCGACTGCTCTGCCACCGTGACCCGCGCGCAGAGCTTTCACAACCTCAAGCTTCTGGTAAGGTGAGAGTTTGGCAAAAATGATGCAGCGATCAATGGCATCTTTGTAGGCATCCTGATCATCTGCAAGGGCCGCAAGCTGGACGCCGGTGAGAATGAGTCCTTCATCGCCGTTAGAAGAGGGGGAAGCCTCCACATCCTTTTCATTCACCGTAGTTGACGACTGCTCGCGAGATGGTATAAGCCCGAGGTCGCGAGCCACCTTTGCAGCCACTGCAGGAGCATCACCAGTGAGGATTCGAACCTGTTACGAATCGCAAGATTAATTGCATCAAAGAAAAGCTCGGAGGAAATACATACCTGCACGTTCAATGCGGCCAAATCTTTGATTGCTTGGGTGGCATCGGGTTTCAATGGATCAAGAAGCCCGATGAATCCAACGAAAGTAAGCTCGTTCTCGTCAGAGGGGGATATGGTCATAAACGGCTTGATAAGCTGTTCTCGGCAGGCCACAGCGACAAGACGCAACCCATCCTCGTTCAAACGCTGGGCAGTATCGAGAATCTTTTGCCGCTCGTGTGCTGTGAGAATTGACGTCATTGAGGAGGATAAAGCAAATGGTCCCGAGGCATTCGAGGAAGGTGGCTGGTGGTTGTAGGTTGACACGCACAGGTCCAAGACTTCTTCCACTGCGCCCTTTGTGATTAAGAGTCCTTCAGAGCCATCGCCACCAGGTCGCGAAACTAAGACCGACAGGAGGCGGCGTGACGAATCGAAAGGAACTTCGCCCTGCTTGGTCCAGCCGTCCCCGGGAATGTCTGTAAAGATGTCCTGTTCACTTTGATCGACGAAGTCAACGATTGCGTGGTCGATCGGACTACGAGAACCGGTTTGCAGTGAGGAATTGATGTAAGCCAACTTGATGGGAAGTTGTGAGGGCTCTCCCGTGCCTGTCGTGGACATTGAAATGCGCACGAGGTCAGCGGTAAGCGTCCCTGTCTTGTCTGAGCAGAGAATCTGAACCGCGCCAAGGTTCTGGATGGCATCAAAACGCTTCACAATGACTTTTTTGCGCGCCACACGAACAGCGGACAGCGCAAGGTTGGATGTCTGCATCACAAGTGTCGTTGAGAGTCAGAGCATCAGAAAGCAATGTATACATACCACAATCATCGGCAACATTTCTGGCGTAATGCCGACTGCAACGGCGATCGCGAACATGACTGCGCCTTTCCAGTTCTTACTAACAGCACCCTGGATGATGAGCACAATCGGGGCCATAACCTGTTCAGAAAAATTAAATCCAGAAAATGCACCAAAATCGATAAAATGTTGACTCACCGCCATGAAGGCCATCAAGACATAACTGACTTTCCTGATACCGATCTGAGTAGCGTTTTCTGGTCGTCGTTTGGAGAGCTCGCTAGCGATAGAAGCCATGTAGGTATCCTTGCCGGTCGAGACGACGAGCGCGTGCCCATTGCCTGTGACAACAGATGTGCCCGCAAGACAAACGTTATCATTGTGCAGTAAATTAAAGGTTTCTCCGGGACGTGGGGCTGCAAGGCGCACGGTTTTCTCGATGGGCACCACTTCTCCCGTAAGGGAGGCCTGTGTGATTGTGATAGCCTCGGCCGTAATGAGAACACAATCACCAGGGAAGACATCACCACCTATTATGGAACACAAAGTTAAAATGATGAAAAGGATAAATGTAGTACTACGTACTGGTGACGGCTATGATATCACCTGGAACCACACTCCGCTGATCGATTTCGACCTCCTCCGGACCGGAACTCCGATAACGAAGAACGCGAGTATTCGTCGTGACTGACTTGATCAAATTGACTGCTTGAATCGTGGACTTCAATTCTTGCCAATACCTGGGGCAACGTTAGGTCAATCGGAACAAAGACAGGGTGCGCGAACCTTAAGCCGGTCGAAGCTACCACCATTGCCATCATGACAACGAAGGTGGAGAGTTGATCAGTTGCAGCGTTAACGATGGCGAGGATGGTCAAAAGGATGTTGAACGGATTGACGATGGCCCCCCAAAACATGCGCAGGGCGGCGAGACGACGTTCGGCCACCGGTGTGTTAGGTCCATGAGTTTTGAGGATCTCAGAAGCCTGGTCATCAGTAAGACCGGTAGGGTTCCATCCAGGTTCCAATCTAAAGAAAAGGGAATGCGAAGAAATAAACAAAACGATAGATGGTGGCAATGTTGAACATACACGAAGATAGCCGAGACTGGGACCTGGGCGAAACGACTGAGTGTAGCGCATATAAGCTGCTCCTGCTCTTCCTTCGCGATCGCTTGTGGCAAAACGGGTGACTTGCTACTTTCGCTGTCTGGAGTAGCTATGTCGGGCCCATGCTTTTCCAAATTTGCAAGGGAGCGAGGGGAGAAGAGGTTTGCAAGGAAGGGCATCACGGAGGCTTCATCGTAGACAGGATGATGAGCACCCTGAACGAGTCAGAAAATTTAGCTAGCACAAACCTTCTTACTGGAGCTGGAGCTGCTGACGGCGAGGAGACCTGGAAACATTTCGGTCATTCCTCTGAAGGGAACGGGTGAAAGAGAAGACTCACGATGTAGCGGGAGTTGGATGCGAGATACCATGTATAAGGAACTAGAGAAGGAGCGAGCGATTTTATATGTGAACTAGAGTGCCATAAATTTTTATCTGCAACCGATCTCTGATAGTCCCTGCAGGATTAATCTGACTGATTGATCGCAGCCAATGAGTACTTGAGCATGTTAATTAACGAGATTGATCACTGTCAACGTGATAACATGTCCAGGTCAACCCAGGTCAAGGTTGCCCCTGTTCACAAGGCGAGTCAGAGTCTCGTGGGAGCCACACACAGTAATTCATCCGAGATTAAACGCGTAGGTGGCAACTGAGCGTAGGCCCGGACCCCAGTACCAATCTTTGATTACATAATATTGTTCATCCATGTCAACCCTAATACGAACGGATGCCCTCGCTCTTTCTTACGAGCTCACGCCCGTTGTGCCTTCAGCACAAATCGAAGGAGCGCTACGCGCTCCTTCAGGGGAGGAAAATGAGTGTTGTTCCTTCGTCACAGGAAGCCAAGGAGGGCTACGCCCTCCTTTGGCTTCCTGGCCTCAGGCTGCATCCTAATAAATCGTGCATTTTGAATTATTTTAAAATATATTTATGAGCAGCTTTCCAAAAAAACTCAAAGTACAATCTATCACACCACATAAAGTACATAGTACATAAGATCAGTCAGTGCCATGTTCTTTGAGCAGGATTTTGACCAATGTAAAAATACAATCTACTACACAACATAAAATTACAAAATATGTAACAGTATCATTGAATGTATTTATTTTCCCATTTTTCCCTGCCTCCCATCTAGGGATCAGCAGGGGTATGGGAAACCCTTGAGGGTAGGGGTAGGGGTTTGGATCTGAAGACCCCTGTACCCCTGGGAATATATGCCCAAATTGATTACCATAGGAGGGATGGATAAGTTTAAAATTTTGAAGTTGTACATTTGCCTTCAAATGGTAATATATGTGATTGGAAAAAGTGTTACCCTGGGGTATACCCATGCTAATCCTGTCTCCTGTCTCCCATCTCCCATCTCCTGTCTCCTGTCTCCTGTCTCCTGTCTCCTGTCTCCCGTCTCCCATCTCCCGTCTCCCGTCTCCCGTCTCCCGTCTCCCGTCTCCCGTCTCCCGTCTCCCGTCTCCCGTCTCCCGTCTCCCGTCTCCCGTCTCCCGTCTCTCGTCTCCCGTCTCCTGTCTCCCGTCTCCTGTCTCCCGTCTCCCGTCTCCCGTCTCCCGTCTCCTGTCCTCTGGTTCTCTGGTTCTCCCAGTTTCCCATTCCCATTTTCCCGTCCTCCCATTTTCCAGTTTTTGAGTTTCTAAGTGATCTTTTTCTCCCTTTTTTATTTTTTTTTCATAACCTTCTGTCATTCATCTCCCAATCTCTTTTATCTCATATTTGTTTTCCCCCTGTCTGTCATTGTATTATATGTTGTTCCATTATTTGCTCTATGTATACTACCATAACAATTACAGTAGGAAAAACACTCAAATCTAATCACACATCTCCCTTGCCCTGCTCAAACACATATTTTTTCATTATTTAATGCCATGTACACGTACAGTTACCAAGGTCGTGCTAAGTTCCCAAAGGGCGACGCTATTTGAGTCGGCGTTCGAAAACACGTGACAAAACCACGCGAGCTGCCAAATCGAGGTTAAGCGAGGTAAGCGAAAACCACATGGCCTTTGGCGAAATACGCGAAATACGCGCAAACCACGCGAGCGCGCGAAAGTTCCCGAAACCGTTCTACTTTACTTCTTAGACGAGCTCACGCCCGTTGTGCCTTCGGCACAAATCGAAGGAGCGCTACGCGCTCCTTCAGGGGAGAAAAATGAGTGTTGTTCCTTCGTCACAGGAAGCCAAGGAGGGCTACGCCCTCCTTTGGCTTCCTGGCCTCAGGCTGCATCCTAATAAATTGTGCATTTTGAATGATTTTGAAATATATTTATGAGCAGCTTTTCAAAAAAACTCAAAGTACAATCTATCACACCACATAAAAGTACATAGTACTACATACAATCAGTCAGTGCTATGTTCTTTGAGCAGGATTTTGACCAATATAAAAATACAAAATATGTAACAGTATCATTGAATGTATTTGTTTTCCCATTTTTCCCTGCTTCCCATCTAGGGATCAGCAGGGGTATGGGAAACCCTTGAGGGTAGGGGTAGGGGTTTGGATCTGAAGACCCCTGTACCCCTGGGAATATACCTCCAAATTGATTACCATAGGAGTGATGGATCAGTATAAAATTTTGAAGTTGTACATGTGCCTTCAAATGGTAATATATGTGATTGGAAAAAATGTTACCATGGGGTATACCCATGCTAATCCCTACTCCCTACTCCCTACTCCCTACTTCCTACTCCTGTCTCCTGTCTCCTGTCTCCTGTCTCCTGTCTCCTGTCTCCCGTCTCCCGTCTCCCGTCTCCCGTCTCCCGTCTCCCGTCTCCCGTCTCCCGTCTCCCGTCTCCCGTCTCCCGTCTCCCGTCTCCCGTCTCCCGTCTCCCGTCTCCCGTCTCCCGTCTCCCGTCTCTGTTCTCTCAGTCTCCCATCTCCTGTCTCCTGTTCTCCCATTTCCCCATTTTCCTGTCATCACATTCTCTGGTTTTTGAGTCTACATTGTCTTTGTCTCCTTTTTTTATTTGAATCTTATCTCCTGTCACCACATTTGTTATCTCCCTGTCTGTAATTGTATCATATGTTGTTCCATTTATGTACATATACAGTCACTACTAATAATTGCAGTAGGCAAAACACTCAAATCCTGTTGTCCCCCTGCTCAAACACATTATTTAATGCCATGTACACATACAGTTACCAATGTTGTTGCGCAACATTCCCAATGGGTGACGTTGTTTGAGTCGCCGCTCGAAATATACATGAAAACCACGCGAGTTTCCAAATCGAGGTTAAGCGAGGTAAGCGAAAACCACATGGCCTTTGGCGAAATACGCGAAACATGCGAAATACGCGAAAGCCACGCGAGCGCGCGAACATTTCCGAAAACCGTTGTACTTTACTTCTTAGATTCTTAGATTACCCATGAAGTCTAGCTGTGCCGTCGCCACTGATTGATTTTCCGGAACAACGCTTCAAGATTGGGCATGCTAAGATCCCCATTCGCAGTCGACATCCCTCCCTCGTTACCTGTCAGTTGACGCCTTTGAGTTTGCAGGCTCACATTCTGCATGGTTTGCAGCGCCTCGTACATAGCTATTGATAGTCATCGAGAAATTAAGTTGGTTCATAATTAGAATTCCATCATAGCACTGCAAGTTCTGCATGAGAGAGAGGGTAGCGGACGTGAAAGGGAAGCCAAAAAGTGGTGTATAAGGAAGGGCTGCCCCAGGGGCCAGGGAATGTCCTCCAGATGCGATAACTCCGGTCGAGGTCAGGTGGAAACTGACATTTTAAATGTGCACGGAGGATAAGCGATTGGCTGTGGCATTATGCTGCTATTAATTGGCTGGCCTCAACCAGTTATGTAGCTTTGTTGACTTGTTCGAACATCACAATCTATTGAAGCTGTAAAGGCGCTGTGAATTGTGTAAGAATTTTTAGGCTGCGAAACACGGGTATCTACTGGTATCAATATTTCTTTTTAAAATTTCGTTTGCTCAAGTCACTCGGTACAAAGTAATCTACAGGTGCATTGGAGTTGAACTACTTCATGCATAAACTAATGAATGTCATGATAAGACGGGTACAGGAGCACCGGAGAGCTCATATGAGAGTGGGCGGGAGGGCCACAGGACAGTCAAGACATGGATGTGCAAGAGTGCAGATTATGCACAAGGGTAGTATCAGACACACTCATGTAAGACGATACGAGAGCACGCGAGAGGAGGCGCTCAATAGTTCCATTAGTTATAAGAAGGAAAAACCACTTGATGCAAGTGAGAGGACAACGTTCCAACGCAGCTGTTGAATGAACTTTGGCCCCAGGATAGCTAGATTTCACGGTGGTTGAGGTCTTTGCCATAGACCCTGAAATTAATGTGTTCAAGGCTGGTGTTTACCAGCCTGTTGGGCAATCTACTTTGAAATGTCAACAGGGCACTACGATAGGAGTCCGTGTCCGTACCTTTGTTACTTCAAGTCAGGAATTGCACAAACTGAGTAAGGTCCGAGTGATAAGCGGGTACCATGAGCTCTACCAGTCCTGTGCTTTGAGAAACAACGTGCGAGGTGATGATTTGGGAAGGTTGACGCAAGGTTTACATCGATTATCATTATCTTACAATCACTGGAAAATTCGGATAACCGAACTCATTTGAGAGGCTACAGGGATGTTACCGGCGGTGAGCAAACCGCGAGATAATTGCGACGTACTATGAATGAACCTCCAATAGGCCTTATTTGACCATTTCTACATCTATCCGCGGCGTTGTCACGGTTATCTTACCACCGTGTCGCATCCACTAGCACATGTTTGATCTGGGTCCTAGTTAGTCACCGTAGCCGCTGTCGACGGATGCTTAGGGCGTCAGCTGGCGCTGGCTTGATCATTGATCACCTCTCACCCGTGATTCGTCGAAATCTGTGATGAACGCAGTTGATCGGATGACCGGGCCATAACGATATGATATCGATTATGAAGCTATTTATTTGGAAGTCGGCCTGATGTAAGTTGGTAGTCCGAGTGAAAAAAAAACATGAGCCAAGATGATGCATGACGTGGGCCACTGACCCACTTTCTGCGCACTGAGAGAAGGAAAGTTCTTCCAGATGCATGTTGGGTCTCACCAACTCTGCTATTTGGGCCAGACAGACTGTCACACATGGTGTGTGTGACATAAAGTCAGTACTTGAGTCAACTTGCTTCAGTTTTGTGCTCTATTGCAGAATTCGTTGCTGTTATCAATTATATCTCCGGAAGTCTCCGCTTTTGAGTTTTGTCAGACACCTGTTCTGCCACCTGTTCCATGCCGTGGCCCAGGCACAACAAATTTTGCAGACCGGCCCGATTTCCGCCAACGACACTGTAGTATCGGCGAATGGATTCTGGCTGCACCGGCACCATTTTCGTAGAGATCAAAGCCTTGGGTAGGAGTCTGCAATATAATGAGTGCAGATATGAAAGAAGATACGTTCTTTTTCCACTGGCAGTGGGCGCTGGGCTCGGAATGTCATGATCTCTTGTTAGGATGACCAGATATCGAGATCCTGGTGGGTCATTTATAAAGCTACTTGATGTCCGCTGAAGCACCCTCGAGGGCACCTCAAAAGGCCTTTCGGAACCCCGCAAAGTCCTGCTCAGAGAAAATAACATTGCCTGTGAGTATTTGCAGGGCTGGACGCTGCTATCGAATATTTTGATACCTCGTAGCCCATCATACGAGGCCCTGCAGAGGACAGCTATCGCATGGTGGTGCATCAGTGTGAATGACAACGTGCCAGGCTGCATAGCTGCAAGACTTTTCACAGTAACACTTACTGAGACGTGTTCGAAGGGACAGAGCGAAGGTGGTAAGTAGCTCGAAAGAAGCAGTGGGACCGCTAGACTCTGATCGGAAAGTATGGCGCAGAAAGGATGCTATGTGTGGAGGCCGTGCCATAACCTTGGGAGACATGTCCGCCTGTGATGATGGCGAGGTGGATACCTGAAGTCTATCCAAGCGCATCAATTTGCGTGTGATCCTCTTTGAGTTCAGCGACTTTCGAGGCGTAAGATAGTGCCCTACACGACAAAATGTTTTCCCACAGGTAGAAGCGTAGATAGCTTGAAGCTGGCTAAACAATAATAGTGAATACGCATGATATATTGAGGCTACCTCTTCGTCGTGTTGATTTGAATGGGTGAATTCGCATGAAAGAACTAGCAATGCGGGAATGGACGTGCGACCATACATTTGTTGTCACCGCAACGTTGCTCAGTGAAATGTGCACGTTCAGAGAGTTGATGTCATCATGCACAAACAGCAAAAGACACTGCAATCAATACCGGGCCACCTGCCATGCCTGTTTGATGTAGAGTACATTTTCATGACAATCGTGTTAGTATAGCGATTTACACAAACTCCACCTGTTTCAAGAATGATTGCAGGGTCACAGCTCATTGATCCAATTTCCAGTTATTCTCCTTCACTATCTTCTCGCGTTCAAGAAGGTACTTTCCTATAGCACGTAAGATGGTATTAAGTTACGATCTGGACAAGGACTTGCCTTCCTTATACTTCTGAGATAAGTCGGCTGCCTTATGATAATACCATCCAACACGGTCATTGCACCCCATGCAGAAGATGTCAGCTACGGTGTGGACACCTGTGCTAAAACACAAGAAATGGTCAAAAGGGACGAACAGCAAGGGTTGCGTACTCACAGAAGTGGTCGATCCTCTTTCTTTCCCAATTTCACATTGGTTACTGAGTGCATGAGGCTGGCCCATCGCAAAAAGCACGTCACTCATTCTGGTGATGCAATCGAATGATGTGTCACTGACAAGCCTCTTCCTTCTCTGCCTGAGAAAGACTTGCTAATAAGTTCATCCTGCAATGCCTGAAGATGCATCATGAATGTGGGGCTTAGGAGCCTTGTCAACGCCATCATGTCAATGATCACGCACCAGCACCGCTGAACAGCTTAAACAAATGAATCTGGGATGGTCGTGGTAGGTGGAGATAACCTGGCTGCGGGTGTCACTACTGGGACTTATGGTGGAAGTCATTGGTGTCAAGCACCATCTTCGAGGAAGAAAGTTCAGGATATCACGGGAGTTCAAGTCGCTGAATTTGGCAAACTCTGTTTGAATCGGAAGCAATCAATTTGGCTACTAGTTGCCCTTAACACTACGTGGAACAGTTGCTCTCAGCAACTCTTCTGCAGGTTATCGTATACCTCGCATGTTCACACGTTCGACGTATGGACGCCATGAAAATACTGAACTTCCTCAAGAGGTCGTCGTCGCAATCCAACGCATCCTCGAACTCGATCCAGGGAACCAGAATGATCCCCTTGATGTTCTGTCTAATGAGTTTAATCCACTAGATATGCTGAACCAGCTTTTCCCAGATGGTATGTCACATATCGAGGTGTAAATTGTGCCCACTGAACAACGTACAGAGGCCTCACTGAATCAGCTAGAAACCGTTCAAGCGAGACTGTCTCAAAATGAACGCGACTTGCAAGGCGAAATTGATAAACTCAAGGAAGAGCTGATACGTGACCAAGATCCAAACCGTATGCAGATGATTCAGGAAATGATTTCGGTATGCCTGCCAGTCCAACCACTAGAGTCCTTATTGAAGTGTTATTACAGGACCTCCTTGGGCAAATGTCACGCATTCGGGAGAAGGCGACGGAATCTGAGGCTGTTGTGCGCGATATCACGAAGGATATTCAGGCTCTCGACCTGGCAAAGAAGAACCTCATCCTCAGTATGACGACACTCAAACGCCTGCAGATGTTGGGTATGTTCCTTGGCATTGCCGTCGCAAATCCCGTTAATCTTTCACAGTAAATGCTCTGACACAATTGGAAGACCAAGCGAAAGAGAAGAGATACGGAGAAGTTTCGCAGACTCTTGCAGTTCGTTTCCGTTTCTCATTTTGCAGCAACCTCTTGACTCGTCCGTAGGCTGTGAAGCAGATATCTGCTTCTTTTAAACCTTATACATCCGTCCATCGCATTAACCAGGTCTGGAGACGGGTACAACAAATTCAGGGTGAGATTCGCACTCAACTCGAAGCAGAGTTCGACGTGTTGTAAGTTATTTTCCAGTCTGCAGATTCTTGAATCGTGAATCTGTTTAGCTACCTCCAGGACCCTGCTAAACCCTCAAAACCTGCTCAAATCATAGATGCTTGTGCCGTCGCTGATGTTTTAGGCCACGACGTTCGGAGACATTTGATTGATCGTTACGTTACACTTGAGCTCAAGGAATATCGGCGCATCTTCCGTGCCACAGACGAAGCAGGTCATCTAGACAACATCAGCCGGAGGTACGCCTGGTTTAGACGTGTGCTTGGAACGCATGAGTTGGAGTTGGGTCGCCTATTTCCTTCAGAGTGGAAGGTTGGATGGGCACTTTTCACGAAATTCGTGGCTATCACAAGGTTTGTCACGCCATAGATATGATGCACTTCTAATTGATATCTTTATCTCCTCAGAGATGATATTGTAGCATTGCTGTCTAAAGCAGGCTCCTCTTTGACAATCAAAGCACTGCTCGAAGCCCTACGGCAGACAACCGAATTCGAGTCATCCATGGCAAAGAAATGGTTAACGCCAGTATGTCAATCTCGAACTCACCTATTACTCCCTCGTTAACGATAGATACTTGAACAGCTCAATGAGATATTGGAAGCAAGTTCACCTTCGTCTTCAGCGACCATTCAGTCGATGTCATCTGCCTTTGAACCACATCTTGGTGTCTTTGTTGATGCTCAAGACAAGTCTGTACTTGCTTCTCCTAATGTCTATATTTACCATATCTGCCGATTACTAGAGCTCTTGCTGACATGCTTGCCACTCATCGAGCACCGGGCTCGAAGGCAAAACCACGAACATCCCTTGATACCACTCCGCGTGATTCTGTCTCTACAGATGCGGATGCGGATACCCCGCAGACGGTACTCTCTTCGTCAACAGAACTGTTTTACTTTTATGGCCAGAGTCTTGAGCAATGCGCCAAGTTATCGACAGGACAGACACTGTTTGATTTGTGTATGGTACACAAGAAGTGGCTGCGCAGATATGCTGGTGAGATAACCAGGGTATCTATTACAGTCTTATCTCTGATGTATGATGTAGAGGACATCCTTGCACCACAGTCAAAGCGGTTTGTGACGTGTAGCTAAAGACTGCTGCATCAAGCATCTGACACATCCGCAGGCCGACACCTCAAACACGGAGGTCTATGGACTCGCGTTTTGATATTGCGGATTTGCAACAGGCTGCCCTGTTTATCAATACAGCGGACTACTGTCAAACTACGGCTCTGGAGGTCAGTCCACCGCAGCGGTGTGAAGCTTTTATTGACTGTTGCCCGGATGTAGCTTGAGGAGAACATCAAAGAGAAGATCCAAGACGACTTCAAAGAGAGAGTGACGCTGCAAGCAGAACGTGACTTGTTCATGATGTATCCCTGTTATTTTGTTGTCCATCTCTGGTCGCTAATGCGAAGCCAGCGTTATTTCCGTCTCTATCATGACTCTTCTACGAGAATTGGAGGCCGCTTGTGAGGGTGCTTTCACCACGATGTCCCGTATGTCGTGGGAGAAGCTGAACCAGGTCACTGGACAGTCTTCATATGTGGATGATCTTGCCCGGGCTGTCGAGAGCTTTTGCGATATTATAAAGCCGTTAATTGAACAGAAGAAGTACCTGAGGAATTTCTTCGACAAGGCATGCAGGTTGGTCTTGTCACTCCATGTAGGGAGAAATGCTAATAATTGGCCATCAGTCTTGTCTTGACGAAATTTACCAATGCAGCAGTGAAGAGCCGACCTTTGAGAGAAATTGGTGGAGAGCAAGTACGTTGGTAGTTGATTGATTTGCTCTTCTTTGACCTAATCCAAAATATCGCAGTTACTGATCGACCTGGGTGTTGTCAAATCTATCCTAATACGACTGCCAGGAGAAGCAGTAGTAACGCAGGGGTAAGAATGGCACCCGGTATCTTGAGAAAGGTTAGCTCATAAATTTGTTGCATAGATATACCCGCAGCCTTACGAAAAGCACAACGAGGCTCGAGGCTCTGCTCAAGGTCATTGTGACACCAGTGGTAACTACCTTTTCTCTCATGCACGTTCCGTCACTTACAGAACTGTCAGGACCCTCCGGAAGGTTTCATTCTGAACTATACTCTTCTCATTGGCGATGCTTCATTTTCAAATTTTCAAAAGGTTAGACCACCTTCATGTTTTGGCTGCATTTCGTTCATTAATGCTGTGCAATTACTAGATACTCGATTTGAAAGGTACACCGAAGACCGGACAGAACAGCCTTCTTGATTCATTCCTCACCATTACGAGCACTAAGACGGATCTCGACAGTACATCATTTCTTTCTGCCCTCGATATGGATCCCCCCTTGACACTCGGTGCGACATTCGGTAGTCCGGGCTCTAGCCGAGTCACCCTTCCGCTGTCAACCACACCGGGCATTGGATCGGACAGTATATTTGGATCACTTGGGTCTCCGCCCTTGAGTGGACCGCCCACGGGATCAAGCACCGATGGAAGTACTTCCAGAGGGCTGGAACCGGGACAGAAGCGAGAAGTCTTTGACATCAGGCGATTTGTCACTTTCGGTTTGCGGCGATCGGAGACCTTACCAACTTCGTGACTTCCTAACTTCCAACACTTTGTACTTAGTCCGGCGGAAATATGCTCATCACCACGGAAAACAAAAAATGCAATTGTGAAAAAAAAATGGCAGTAGTAGGGTACAAATGCGTGAATGATAACCCAAAGGAAGTGACAACGAGATCGGTTTGTGAGGCCAGAGCGTAATCAGTGCAAAATGGGGTATCTCCAGAAATCAATGGGTAAATGAAAGAAGCATGAGATATATCGTTCAAGAAATCGTCATCATTGAAGTTATCTCGGGAAAGATGGCAGCCTATTACTGATCGTTGCTTCTTTTGTCACGGCTCCATGAGCCTTGTAAAGGTAGTCGCAAGTGTGGTGATCCAGATGTCGAAGGCCGAGGTCTAGGACCAATCAACGAGCCCACCCGATAAGGAGCTCTGGGGGAAGATCCAAGAGGGGATGTTCCAGGTCGGAATACCCGCTCCGCAATTATTGATGATGTATGGCTTGCAGGACCTGCCGCAAGACGAGTCGCAGGAAACTGTGGAGTAACGGGCGTCATTCCAAGTACACGCTGCACAATGTACGGCGGTGGAGTGTTTGGCTGCGGGCTAGGGAGAGGCGGATGTGGAGGTAGGGTGGAGGCTGCGCTTTCTCTCCGTGAGTCAATGTCAGTGTAATCGGAGTGACTATGTCGGAAATGGACGTCGGATACGGAGAAGGGTACACTCTCTGTGGGAGAAGTGGGAGAGTTTGCATCTGATGGGAGACCTGAATGTCGAGGTTCTGTAGCCTGCGCTTGCCGGGGTACAGGAGGTGATGGTGGACGAGGAGGTGAGAAAGACTGAAGTTCCACGTGCTCGCTTTCGCGCTGGTAGTCGATATTAAAGGGGTGCGGCATGTGCGTTGAAGGCGGAATAGTAATAGGGAAGGGAAACGAGGATCCGTGAGTAGTGTGTGTAGCATGTCCAGACGGCGAAGAATGAGCATTAGATTTATCGGAAGGACTTTCGTTGTGAGATCCCTGAGACACAGTAGAAGGTGCATCGGGTGCGGAATGCATTGCGTCCTCAGGTTTATCGCGTTCGATGCGCACCATCCGTATGGACGTGCTATCGCTCCATGGGGTACGGACTCCGCTGTGCCCCACTTCGGCTGCGGCTGAGTTTAGCGTGGTGGACTTCGATTGCCGACGTGATGATGAATACGACGAACTAAAGTCGAGGAAGGAGTAAGTGCCTGAGGCAGGCGCGTCCTCGCTTGGAGGCGGCTCTGATCCCGATCCTGATTGGAGCATAACGACCGGGACCGACTCAGGGCTGGGGTTCTCAGACTTGTCCTCGTGGACGCTCTGCTTCCCGTCATCTCTGTGAGCTTTTCGGTAGAGTCTGGCACAAACCCGAGACCAACTACTATTCCCGCTCACACTCGTCCGTCGTGAGTCCTGACGTCCCCTGAGCTGACCGAGAATAGCTCCAATGTCTACCCTGAACGGGGTGGTCTCTCTCACTTCCAGAAACCGTGAGACAGGCCGAGATGGCACGGAGGACTCCCCGTCATCATTCTCCGTTATCGCGCACTCAATCTCCGCAATTGAGCGTACAGCGGGAACGAAGACGCCTGGCGCTTCCGATGTTCGCGGGCTAAGAGAAAGCGTTGCGGCAAGCGTTTCATCTTGCCGTGACGTAAGGGTCTTGGCATCTGCATCGTCATCATCGTACACGTCGTCTACGCCCACCCCTTCCGCACACAGTTCCGGAAGCGCCAATCTGTGGCTTCCTACTCGCGTGTGTCCTTTTCCCATGGAACCAAACGACGTGCGTGCGATAGGATTGCACCAGCCTGGCGCTAGTTTCTCAGATTCCGGCGGAAAACCCAAGGCAGTGAACTCCATGGTGAGGGTGTTGGTCGAGAAGCGCTTGTCGAAGTCTCGCTCCTCAGGTGAAATTGCAACGTGGGACACGGAACGCGAGCGCGTATTGTCAATGTGGCCGCTGCTGCTGCCCCCGTTTTTCGTTTTGCGGACAAAGGGGAAGGTGCGTTGCAGGCCAAGTCCGAATCCATACCCTTTACTGGTACTTAAGCTTGCCACTTCGGTCTCTTCTTCGCCTGGAGGGCTGATGTCAATGACATGTTCTGGGTCCACCATTTTCTTGGAGCGCGAGTGGCTCAATTTCCGCCTGCAACGAGCGCGCGCGCGAACAACAAATAGCCAGTACATGAGGATACCTGCGATGAGGATCACCAGAACAGCACCGAGTACAATAGCGGCAATGGTCCCGGCGTAAGTCGAGTTGCTTGATGAGGACAAGATGGCGGTATCTCTAATGAATCGATCAGCATCTGAAACAACAGTCTGTGGAAGAAAACGGCGCACACAGTGGCATTGCCGAAGGTGGTGACGTTCATCCCACCAACTTTCATAGCAAATGTTGTGTTCTGAGTGTTGGTGAGGACGACTGTATGAGTGGTATCTTGAGACAATTCGGTAGCGAACAACAGCAACGCATTTGAATTATTATAAGAGGATAAAGCTGAGAAGCTAGTGGTGATGTTATCGAGTGTGACAGAATAATTTCCAGAATACGAAGACACGAGGCCGTAGACAGTTAAGGCCGATCCTTCGGAAATCGAATCAGGAACAATATAAGTTCAACATAACTAACGAATAATAGAAGTAACACGTGCCTATGAATGTGGTCTGAGCATGGTCACCGGCAGTGTTGGAGATATGCATAGAATTTCCCGAGCTGTCAGTCACATAACTCCATCTACCCACAAATGTAACGTCGTTATCGTCATCGATGGTCGTCGAGTTAGCCGTTGAGCTGAAAATAATATTATCAGCACGCTAAGAGCGTAGATCAGCGCCCTGGCTATCGCGGAATGAGCTCACTTGACAATGCCAGGGGGGGCTGTATAGGTGATGAGAGCCTTGTCGAAAAATACATATGAGTCTGAAATCGTTTGGTTCGTGAGAGTCGTTAACAGCATTGTGTGATTCGTGTTGGTTAAATCGTGAAGGGAAGCAAGGATGGATTCCGGGTCAGATGTATTGGGAGAGATGTCGATTCCGTCCAAGGTTATTTGGTAAGATGCATTTCGAACACTCCCCAGGAGATCAATACCAGTGCCTGGGTAAACGATGAGCAACCTGATTTATGGTTTTGATGTTGATTGGCGAGAGCTGTGCTTACCGTTCCATTCAATCATAAAGCTTGCCTCATTGAGGCTGGTAATGTGTGCGCTATATCCTTCACCACCCTGACCCGGAGAAGATGCAACACCTGAAACCGAGTAAAACTGCTCCCAGCCTGCAGAAACATTTGGGCTGAGGCTCGTGTCTACGAACGGGTAGTAGACAATCTCTGGTGAATCATCCTCAACGTAGAACTGGGATATGCTACCTGCCATTCATATGATCGATATGGATGACAGAGCTACGATGAGGAAAGACGGAAAGGGAAGTTAGGTGTGCGAAGAGAGCCTGTTTTAAGAGGAAAATGGCGCTGAGGGACAACAGGCAATTGCAATGATGACAGGCTCGGTGACCATTCAATCGGTTTGCAAATTGTACCTCAAACGCCGGGCGAGTTAACGTTCGACGTTCAACTGTCTCATGAAAACCGGACGGGCCTTACTATTTAAAAAAAATGATGACTCGGGTGGTAGTCTCAATTATCATGCCAGCCGAGAGCTTTACCTGCCTGGAGCAGTTTAGAGTCTAAATCACCATATCAACGTTAACTACTTTTAAAAAGTCACTTGACCTTCCGAGTCTTCCGGTGGGCTTACCCATAATCCTGTGTCTTTTAAACACGTTATCCGTACACGTCGCAGCGCGCTCAGGCTTGTGTCTCTGATGGTGACAATCATTGATCCTGACAATCTGCCATATCCTGGTTCCACATTGTTCCTGCCCTCTTTGCTTGCCCATATACGTGCTGCTGCTCCCGGTCTGCCACTTGAGCCAATCATCATCCAGGTTTTACTTCTTTGTATCGTTTCAGGGGATAGAAATATCATCCTGCGGACCCGCGAAGAGGACATTGGTCTTGTATCCAGACTTGCGACTATCGTGAGCATGCTGTATCTTTTAAACCAGCAATATCTCAATTTTCAATAATAACCCATGCCTTAAGTCGCTCACATCTGTCTTCGGTTACATCACCCACAAATTTCGATGTCATGCCGATGCTAAATCTCAGACACCTGCTAAATTTCTGCGATCTCTCTTTATCCCACCCCCACCTGTCATCGCCGCCGATGGCTCGGTGTCACCCCAGCACAGGCACCATCGTTCATCCGTGACAGTGCACAGCAGGAAGTCTTCTTTTCCGATGTCTATGTCATTTTCAAGTGATGTTACGCGACCCATTCAGCATACCTCGCAACTGGCCTCTGATGATCTGACTGCCAGTGCTGATGGCGGACCGTTCACAGACACCCGACGGATGTCAACTCGCCTGAGCCTCCACACTGAATCCTCCGTACCCAATATTGGTTCTAGTGGCAATGTGGCGATCCATCGCCGTCGTACATCGCATGTCAACTCAGATATGCTTAAGATACCATCTGCAATTGTCGTCTCTGGATTAGAGCATGCTAGTTTACCTGCGCAGCGTGCTGTCTTACGGACTCTTGCAGAGAAGAAACTCGTCGTGTCGGATAACCACTCAGAAATCGAATCAGAATTGCAGCTTGATCTGCCAGACGATTTTATCATGGTCTATGTATGTCGTTTAGATCCACATGAGAGACCACCTATATATAACAGCCTGGTATGTACCTTCTATACGGTGTCATGTGTCATCTTATATGTTCCAGCTCGACTGGTTTGCTATGAGTACACCTATCAATGTTCAGCTATCCACACGAGCTGCAATGCATAATTATCAACCTCACCGCACGTCAACACCATCCACAGCCCTATCCTCGCCCTCAATACCAGGGTATCCATTCCCTAACATGGCTATGTCAGGCCCGCCGACCCCTCCTCCACCGAACAACTCCACGCCAATAATACCTGCCACGTTCTTGGCAAGGCTAAAGAGCCTATGTACCACCGAAGTTCGCATGCGCCCGCCGCTAGAAATATACCTCGCAGATTTATTTACTGCCACGCGGCATTTTGGTGCACTTGACGCCATGATGCTCACTGCGCGTGCACGTCTAGACGCGGAGATCCTCACGCGGGCGTCTCGGGTGCTCGGAGTCGATCAAACAGGGGCAGAGTTAATTCAGGAAGCATCGATCAATGATCCAGAGCGCACTGATGAAGACAGTACCGAACGCGGGTATCCCCGGTCGAGCACGAACACCCAGAGCTTTGAAGCGCTTATAGATGGCTCCGCACTGCCATACGATGTACCTGACGTGACTAGCGTGCATACTCGCCGCAGCACACGGAGTGCACACATCGAACATGAAGAACCGCTAGAACTGGATGTGTCAGAGGCGGATGTGGCGAGGATTTTTCCGAGAGTGGTGTCACATCGTGTCAGGGTAAGGGACTCGCCTGTGGATGAAATTCTGAGCAGCGCAGTTTGCGGGGCTGTAAGTCGATGGGGAGTCATACCAAAAGGGATGAATTCAGGCTGGGAAGAGGGGCCCATTGACGTACATGATCCAGATACCGTTTGGGAGCGGGCAACAGTCAAAGATATATTGGTACACATACTTGCCGAAGTATGACTTATCATCGCCCTAGAGGAAACATGTTCTATAACAGTACTTATACATGAGGCGATGACTTGGAGACAGGACCATATACTACAGCCGCATCATTGATTAGTGGCGGCAAGAAGCACAAAGACGCCACTATGAGATGGTTGGCTTCAGTTATGTAACAAACCCAACCAGTAAGATCTCCCGCAACAGTTTCCATAAAAGGCAACTACAATCAATTAGTCACGCTGTCACGCTGGGCACCTCGGTCCTCGGCCAATGTGATGATATTCAAAGTCCGATGGCGCTCGCGAATGAGTCCTACACCGTTCAACAACCCCACGGACAGCTCAAAATCAAATTTAAAATACCTAGCAATAAAGATCAGCATACGCTGAATGATCATGATTTGCTGCAACTCCAACTGATGCTATAGCTACAGGAAGGTCTTCAAAGGAACAGATACTGGTGTCTGCCGATTCTGCCGAATGCAATGACAAAGCGGAGACTCAACCAGGCGTGATTTACCCTGTCTTGTCACGTTGGTGCTGTTCGTTCTAGAAACACCTGCAGTCAACCTGGAATAGATTCAGAATGGTGTATTATATATGTTGAAGCTCTTATGTTGATAGGTCGATGGGATCTAGGTGGATCTTGACTTGGTGTCCAAAAATTGGGTACACTTGCACAAAAATTTCATCCCAGGAGGGCTCCGCAGCGTCGATCTTAAATCTTTGGTAGCCTGATTGAACACATGCTACTACTTGTTCTCCAGCTGTTCCGAACGAAATATGTATAGAGTTGTAAGCTCCGACGTGCGTTGTACATGACTCGATTGGTGCATTGGGGATCAGGTGATAGTACAGCAGTGAGTCAGTGACTCCGGGAATGAGAAAAGTGTCATAAGACCTTGGAGAATGATAATTGTTTGAAATCCTACAGCTCCAGGTCAGAAGCAGAGGCAGCTTGAGTCCAAAACCGTATTGACAGACGTACGTGGAAGATCGATTCCCCACGATGACAATGCAGGGACCTGGAGATCCGAAAATGGTGCCAGCTGGTGCTGTGTGGACAGGCCCAATTGAACAGACCCGTAAACAAACACGATGACATTGCAGGAAGCTGGAGATCCGGAACTGGTGCCAGATGGTGCTGTGTGGACAGGCCCAATTGACCAGACCCGTAAACGAACATGATGAAGCTCTGGAACAATTTTTTGAGATGCTATGCTCGTGGAAATTGGATCAGGAGTATCATTGACAGACAAGCAAGCAATTTTCGTCTGTCATGGTTACTCTTAGTGAATTATATAGACCGATGACATGCTTATTGACTCGGTCTCATGCCGTTGCTTGTATCCCATCAAATGGCTCCGACGCGCACCGAGTACTGGGCCAAGTCGCAATATTCTGGTAGCGGAAGTGTCTGGAACGGGACGACAATGAAAGGAACCAAGAGACTATTTGAAAAATAGAAAACCTGTCCACGCACTGCGTCTCTGGTATATCGAATAGATACGCAGCAAACAAACAACACAAAACGAGTCCACTATGTCGGATCTCTGATGCATTTCACCTTGCCGTTCACCCGCACTAACCGCAGAGCAACATGCAGTGTCTGCATAGAAATCATAAGATCCCAGAACTCGGACACATCCGAGAAAAACATACATGCTTGTCCCGACTTGCTACAACTTTGACAACATGAGGACTTCGACGATAGGAGATACTTTGTCTTGGACGTTCTGAGAGTTCTATTGCTTCATGGGCATTGGGTGGCCGAGCGGATGAACGACCATGGGCGGCCGAGGACTACGTGTGGACATGACACCGACGGCCTCAGGCATTGCTGAGGTTGGGGTGCTTCATCGGTGATCCGTGAGGAGCGAAGTTACAGATCTATTCGATTGGTATGTCACTGACAGAACAATTTAACACAAACGCGCTGAGACTTTTGTAAGCGCATTCCGAGACGCCTTTGCGCTATGGATGCGAATGCAAGTAGCGTGTTCCGGTGATGATAATATTTCATAGAACTTCTCTGACACGAATCCGATTTGAACGTCGCGTCTCGTTCACTGTGCTGAAAACGAACCGATCGATGTTCAACGTGAGAGCGAGACTAAGGGAACGAAGACTTAATAGTATGTTGATTTAAACGTTCTACACAGGGTGGGGTTTGCCTCCACTTGCACGCCTTTTGCACTTTGAACACGTTGAACATTTGTTACATTTTGTATGTTTGGAGGAGTGCCATGTTTTGAGAAGAGAAGAGTGCGTACTAGTACTACTATATATGGAACGCTGATGGAGTAGCAAAACATAGTACCTGTGCTGTGTACTAGCTAGAGGTCACGTCCACAATCTAAACTGAGAACCACGTTTGTCCCTAGTACGGTATCCCAAAAAAACGGGCTACTGACCACTCTGCACCAACTTGCAGAACAGCTGCTTCAACTGTGACTCTTCTACAGATTACGACAGAAGAACCTACCGTGACAGCGCCATGACAAACGGTCCTCCGCCCTCCCAAGCAGGTCCCTCACAGCCGTCAGAAACGTCAGCACAACAGCCGGCTCATATAGTCCCTGTTTCAGCGTCTAGTACGACTTCGCAACAGGCTATAACAGCAGGTCCTTCCTCGCAGCTTCAGCCTGTACAATATGGGCCTGCAACTCAAGGGCAGAATCCTCAAGGCTACTACGCGATGAGCTACACGCCCGGTGGGTGGCAGAACGCGTGGCAGGTTCCCTCCTACCCGTACATCGCGTCCGGTAACGTACCAGGCCAGCAGACACACTACACTCAGGTTCCCTATCCTCAATATCAACCCCCTGCTGTAACCTACCAGCCGCGTCAGAGGACCAAGGTTGCACAAAAACCGCGTTCGCCGACCCCAGAGCCTGAGTTACATCGACATTGGGATGAGGTAATACGGTCGTTCTTGAAGAAGGTTGGGATGAATCAAGCTTTGAGGGGATTTGAGGATGATATGGTAGTTATGAATGCAGACTGGGAAAGGCAGAAGGTTCCTGGTGCTATTGGAGATTTAATGAGGGATCTTATGGTGTGCGCTTCGCCCCTTTTCTGCGCTATTTACCAAACTAGTTTCCTTTCCAGAACTTGGGGAAACCGAAAGGCAACGAAACGCTCCAAGAACGACCACTGGAGGAGCGAAAGCTCGATTATGTTCATCTCTCTGGTAGTGCCAAGCCCCAGTCTCAGACGTCGGTATGTTTCCTGTCCATTTGACCTTTGTTACAACTTCTAATCCACTCCAGATAACAAGGTCAATATCCCAATTCCTCGCGCAAAATCGCGCGAGGAACGATGTCTCTAATCGCACGGAGTTTCTCGAATCTCTCGCTCAAAAGCGACGGCGGCTAAACCTTGATCCAGACAGTACCGAGCCTATACCTTCCTGTGCACGAACAGATGCAAAGCACCTTGACCGCGACGTGCAGATGAAATATGATATTGCGAAGAATGAAGATGGACCTCTCCGACGAACCATGAAAGGTGTTGCCGGCGATAAAGGCAGGCAGAAAGAGCTTCTCGCGCTACATGATGACGCAGAAGGCGATCAACAACCTGCAACGGACCAACGGGTGAAGAATATCGAAGAACATCTTGCCGTCCGCTACGGTAGGTATGTGATATATTATATGAACGGCATATGTTAAAAAGAGACGTAGTCCCTGCTCCACCACGAACGCTCCTGTCCCGCCTCCGACTGCTTGAGGACCATCTCATGCAGCTCGAGAAGGATTATCCCCCGTGGGCTGCTTTACATTTCAACCAGCCAAATCGTGGTGTACGTTATGCTTTTATCAGACATGTCGGACAGTCACTCATGGGGAACCCAGTGGCCTCCGCCTCCACGACACACGCCAATTATAGTTCCTTCGCACATAACAACAACAAAGGAGTCTAAGACTGATACTCCACAACAGGAGCCATCATCTTCCAATCCTACCGAGGAAACGTCACACACGAAAGCCAAGAACAAAAATAAATCTAGTTTGCACCGAGCTGTGATGGAGAAATTGGAAATACAAAAGGCGATGAGTGATCTTGCAGGAGGCCGCAAGTCCAATTGACAGTGCACGTGGCTATATCTGTCGAAGGATCAATGGGCGTAACATTCACCTTGTTAGAAACATCCAGGAACACGTTCAACGTGTGTGATCCGCAGTCAGTGTCGTCCACCTGGTCGTTCGCGTATATCAGAGTACAATCAGTGTAGTGTTCTCTTATTCCGCAGCCAGTATCCCCTTTCTTCCCCGTGGGTCCACAGCCAAAAATAACCAGTGGATTTAACGTTTGGTTAAACTCAGTTGGCCGACACTTGCATGACGTAATGTGTAGCTGACGATCTGATGCCTTATCCAAAACTGTTTCATCTTGGGCTCGTCGGTAGATTATTCTGATACGCCGCACGCGCAGTACTTAATTCAAGCACCGATATTAATCGGAGTTACGAGACTGCCAGGTATGGCTGCACCCAAATAGTTCTCGGCAAGTTGGATGTACTAGTAAGTCTTCAGCATGGCACCGTGCCTTCTGGAGCTGCATCTAACTTCTCTGAATCTCCATGGACTGAAGCGGTGCCATCCTTATCTCCATTTTTTCATTATCAATTGGGAGGGAGGAACTGAGCAATTCATGGCGGCAGACAGATTAAATTAGCACGAACCGGGGAGATGCATTAATCGTTGCTCGGGTGCATGTATCGCATGTAAAAGCAGTATTTGTTATAACATTCGAGGGACACAGCAACTGAGTGTGGTCAGTTGTCGTATCACAAGATGGCAGGCGAATTGCGAGCGGTGGAGGCCATGAAACCATCATCATCTGGGCCAGGAGTAAGGGGAGGGTATTCGATCTTCTGGTGAAGCATACAGACACGAGAGGCTTTGGTCTCCCCTGTGCAATAATCACCGTCCTGAACCCGTACCCATATGAGGTCGACCTGACAAACATAAACAACTGTGACAGCCAACACGATTGTGCATGTTGAGGATGCAGTGCAGATTGAGACTTGGAGACTAACGTCAAAAGTCACCATTCCCTTGGCTACGCAGATAGATGCAATGACCGCCGGTACATGCCTTCGTAATCTGGACGATTTGATTTGTAGGATCAACAACTCCGTGGCCGCTATGAATTTGATGCAGGAAGTTTCCAGCCAGCGTAACATGAGGCCTTGAGCTGGCAGCCGCTGTCGCAACTGCGACACTGGCCCGGGCGTCCCCCTTGGATACGAAGTATCCGGGCCGAACATGCCTCCCACAGTTTTACGATACGCTCCACACCCTGAAAACAAATTGAATAGAATGAATTGTCCTACATAGTGTACGTCTCTGCAAAGGACAGTAATTGTTTTGTTTTAAAAAAAATTGCACTCACAGGCGGGTAGTATTACCAGAGGGTAACATATCGATGTTAGGGTCACGACAAAGGGACCGCGAAGATCATATTGTGGAACGTGTGCGTCGATTTACGTGATGCATGATGCATGACCTATGGGTGCAAGGTTGATTAGGTGACCCATAGATAATAAAGCTAGTCCGAATTTTAAGACATCAAAAATAGTTCAGTTTAAAGAAGTTGGTATCATATTCCTGGGACAAAATAGGACTAGCTGCTTGAGCTTTTGAGCGAACTGCTTCAAGCCTAAGCCGTACATGAAAGTTCTATGCTACACAATGAATCAAAGCATCAAAGCAATGATACTTTCGATAAGATATACGTTACCCAGGAATCAACCAGAAATAGTTTGTACAAAAAGCAGCATAACGACTCACGTTCCGAAGCCTTTGGAAGTGAGTAGGTGGATTCCAAACTGAGGCTCAGGCCTCAAACTTGAAAGTGGAAAGATGAGAACGACGTAAATGCGGAATTAACGTTACGTGTGTTCCAAGGGTTGAGTAACGAAAAAGGAAAAGCGCGGACACTGGTGGACACAGCCGGAGCATGAATGCATCAGCCGACCAGACCTCGTCAGTCACGTCAGTGTACTTGCTGGGTGATTCTGCACTGACCACGATGACAACGAACCCTTCACACATCTTAATTGCGCGAAATTCACGAGGGCCAAACAATATCAATCCATCGGCCTCCCTTAGTTCACCTACAGAAACTCATGCAGCAGCTTCAGGCATATTCCGTTCCTCGGGCTCACCTCCATGGTTGCTCGAAGAATGTGAGACCGACGATTTGGTCACTGAACTGAGTTTGTATGACTCTGAGGAAGGCATAGAGATCGACGACACGTTTACTCGCAAAGGAAGATTTCCTGGAACCGTCAAGATTGTGGTTGAAGGCACCACCTTCTGGTGAGTGGCACGAACTGCTGCGGCTTACGTGCAAATATCCATCCATGAGTTTAGGGCGCATAAAGAAGTCCTTATCTTTGCGTCACCCTTCTTTGAGGCTGCACTAAGTGGTAGCTGGGCCGAGACGGGAAGACCACAGTCAATGTCCTCAGTTATCACTATCTCGCAGCCTCCCTCCATTCCAGGGGAGAAAGGCATTGTCGAGACGCCCACGGAAATGACATTCACACGCGAGGATTCATCTGATACCGAGTCACCCGTAGAAATCGAAAATCCCCCGAGGAGCGATACCGACAGTGATATGAGTGGCAGCGAGGATGGCGAAGTCGACACCAAGGCCAGTGCTCGCGACAACAGTCTTGCAAAGCTGCAGGGTACAACCAATAATGGAGAGACCTTATCAAGCCGTGACACGAAAGGGAAGCAGCGAACGGATGATAGACCATCGATTAGACGCGGGTCTCAGACAGCACATGCAACTGTCAAGCGGCGTCGGCGTACTAATTGTCATGACGCTGTCATAGTTCTCAAAGAGGAGAAAGTGAGTTCGGAACAGAATTACACGTGCAGGTTGCTTATTTCCTGTAGGCTAACACCTTTCACGATTTCCTGAAGTTTGTCTACCCTCAGTGAGTATGGTCTTCATTGAGTACCCTTGAAACTAATCCTCTCTCAGTCTCCAGTGCACCATAACCTGGAAGAATGTAGAAGGCCTTATGAATATCTCCCACAAGCTTTGTGTTCCAACACTCCAGCAGGAATGCCTCACTTTCCTTCTGACCCACGCCGCCGGAAAACCTATAAAGGCTATGCGTATTGCAGAACTTTTTGAGGAAGAAGAACTCTACCGCGAGTCAAGTCGCTTCGTACTTGACAATCCAGGCGGGTGGTCCGAAGAAGAGCTTAGCACCCTTAGCCAAGAGACTTTACTGAAGCTAGAGAAACGGTGGGCCTTCTGGATGATGATCATGCATATCTGATCTTATGGTGCTGTTTACAGGAGAAACTGGTTCCTTGAGCGAGTGCTTAAACTGGGATTAACTCCACTTGCAAAGGAATATCAATGCGTAAGTCCCCGTCGGATATGCGATCATCTTGTTGACGCTTCTTAGTGCGCCACCTGCCCTGATTCTGCTATTTGTGCTCGTCTTCTCGAAGAAAAATGGAGACAAGCATACAATGCTGTTTTCCGTTTTGGTGGGTTGGCATCGCGCGCATATATACTGTATGCTCAACACATCCTCAGGTCCTTGTCAACCCTCTATGGTATATCGCTACTTAAGAAACTTGGAGGGTGTCAGTCCACCGCTCGCCCTTACGCACCTTACATGCCAGACAACAGCCAAAGCTTTCAATGCAACTCGTAAGTTACGCTCTTTCTTATGAATCGTATTAGTTGACTGCTTCTCAGTCTTTGACAGGATGTTCTCTCTAGGGATCCGCAGCGATGCTAACGTCGCGCCTCTTGGTGCGCGTGTTGCCGCAGTAGCAGCTGCAGCTACTACCGGTCCTCGCCGTCACTTTCTTTTCTGCACCCTGAAGCCCGAAAAAGCTGTCCCTCGCATCAAACGATCTCGAGAATTGCTGTAGACACGACTCCTCAATCAACTTCCAGCGCTTCATATCTGCATTACTTCCCACTGCTGGGATTTATCTGTAATCTTCTATTTCATCATCACTGAAATAAGTGCTATAGCCTTATCATCGTTCCCTCATATATGACTTATGTATTCCATAGAATCTTTATGTATTTTTCTGTGCTCCACATAATGGAGACTGGAATCAATCACGCTTCCGTTCATCTGATGGTTGTGTGCCCTTGAAACGTCGAATGAAGTACAGTTGAGCCAGTACCAGCAAGTTGACTTTAGTGCTATATGCGTGCGGCTATGTTAGAGGCTGTCCTTTTGATGCGTGGCAAAGATCTGGCCATCTTCACAAGCATTTCTTGCGGACTCATCTTGCCCCAGGTTCGCTTAAATTCTTGTAGCGTCGCGCGTGGCACTATCGATACCGATGTTCATGACTCCTGCAGACTGTCACATATGCACGATTTCTCCTTGTTTCTGCCGACAAGCTACCCGAGACCATGAATTGGTCACTCCTGTCGGAGACGGAACGATATCTGATTTTGACACGCTGATCAGGAGATCCGAGGTCCCCGTGGGCTCGCGTACAGTAACTTCTCGCGTTTTTCCTCCCCCAGATAGTGGTGGAGTCTCCTTGATATGATCATCGTACCTTTGTCATCATATCGAAAGGCTGAAAGCGAGCCTAGCTAATGATCCCGTGCGCCAACTATAAAGTGCGTCGTGTTTCAAACCTGAGTATAAGTTCCCTCCCTCCTCGCAGTGCACGCTCTAGGTGGGAGAATATGCACCATTACTGCTTACGAATTCGGTCAAGTCCAAGTCAGAGAATAGGAGCGGCTGAACACCATACCTTGTCGCGTATATCTAACACGACCAAGTGTTTCTTTCACTTATCCAGTGCACCGTACCAAGCACCGTCTGCTCGTGCACTCTCTGATTTTTCTACACCGTGGTCCGTTCTTTGCTACTCGTGAAACTTCGCTCCGGTCATACTTCCTTACAATGTCAGCAACCGCAGACAACAATGCCAGCTCAACGTCTCAAACACAGTCAACCCGATCACTGACCGGACCAGGAGCATTGGAGACTTTGTCCCACACCGATTTTAAGGGATGCTGCAGAAATGGTCACCTCACCGATATAGAAGCACCCGCACTTTTGTCCCCAAATCCCATGGGTCCGGGCGGGCAAAAATTATTCGCAGGCAGGTGTATTGACCTCGATATCGTCCAACTATCATTGTCACTTCTCAAGCGGTTGAAAAACACACGGAAACCGTCAGGAAGCTAAAATTATATTTTAGTACGGAGGTTGCCACTATGAAGTGGATCGCAGTATAGAACCGAGCAGCTCGCACTCTCAGGTTCACTTTTCCCTATCGAACCATGACAGCTGAGCTCGACGCATACCGAGTAGGTCTCCGGTATGTTCGCGCGGACCAGTGACAAAGCCGCCCATGGACAAATCATTTTATTCGATAAGATAGAGTCGGATCATCACGCAGGTACGAACTCTGCGAGTTTGACGCCTTCCAAGATATATATTCACCCTGGATCTGTAGCTCTAGATTTATTTGCAATAAATACTGACCAAGTCCCCGAGTATGGAGCTGAGGGTTGGCTGGGGGACTGACTTCGTTTGTCCTAAAAAATGAGATGGAGCCGCGTAGTGAGGTTTGAATAATTTCAAGTATCCGGCGACAGCAACCAGACATCTACGCTGTTGCTTGATCGGGTGCCAATCGAACGGTCAGATGCAACAGTATCTGAGTGGCCGGTTCAAATAAAGTACATACCATGTATAAGTTATAAGTTAGGGTCGTAATGTCGAAGTGCACCTTGTCCGACCTGCCGCTAAGAGGCATTGAGTAAATACACTACCCGGTAGTAAGCAAAGGACAACCATAAAGACAAATGTCACAGTACGCGAGAAAATACGAAGTATACAATAACATAGGAAAAGTCCATCCGGAATAGAATGTGAGAAATCAACGGGATATTTGTGACTGGAAAATGGTGAGCGCGTTATCTACGAGCCATTCAATCATCATGGCCTTGCCAGCCATGTCACTGAACTCAGAACCAGGATCTGAAGAACGCATTAGTGTGGCTAAATCCAAACGTCAGCTTTGAATTGCAGCAAACACGAGCCAGAAAGGACGTACGTCCAAAGACCACTCCCAAGTTCCTCGCATTCATGAGATTTTTGTCGCTGTGTTCTAATACACTGTACCGACGTTAGTTCAACGTCCGTGAGTTGTGAGAAGATTCTCACTTGTGTAAATGCAATACAAGCAGGCGTAGAGTGTGATAGTGCTCGCCGGGAAGGCGGTTAACCAATTCCTGCAGGTATTGGGTTTTAAGCCCGGGATCCTTAAGTGAAGCTGCTGAGATAAATTCTCCATGAAGGTCATAAGTCAAAAGAGGGACAGGTAATTGACGGAAATATGTCTTTAAGACAGAAGTGACGCTGCAGATATCATTGAACCGATCGTCGTCACGCAGATCGAATGCTCCATAATCCCCTCGTTCGAATAGCTGGGTGATCATCTTCGTTTGGCCAGAACCACCAGTTTTGCGATAGATACCCTCGTAGTCCAGTGCTGATATCTGCGTCAACCAGGTGCAGCTTAGCATAGGTCATATTCTCTTACCGAGTGCCTCCACTGCGTCAATGCATTTCTCCACGATAACAGGGACTTTCCGTTCTCCCCACTTCAAATCCGATTTCACTTGTTCTATAAGATCACGGCCAAACATAGAGGGAGCTAAAGTCTGACTTTAGACTCGAATGTTGGCAAGGCATTCAAATCACTCACGAGGTTGTGCGATCACATCTTCTCGGCGAGGAGGCTGTTGAGAACATGCTACGCACACTTGATTCACGCAACGAGGATGCACGGATATATGGCAGACTGGGGAACCGTTAGTAAAGTAGACGCGAGAGACTAAGAAATGACGTGCCTGAACATCGAAACTGGGAACCCCATAGCTTGTCTCCACAATGATCGCACCGCGTAAAGCGGAGTACGCTCGTTTGGTTGAAGGAATGAGCTACTTGACCTTTGCCCTTCTGATCAACAGACGACAGCGAGGGATCCCGACCTCTAGCCATAGGCCACTTGAATTTTGCAGACTTCAGCGTCGAAGGCAAGGAATCTGCCATGTCGGAACGGCTAGCCTTGTTGAACTTGGCCTCCGATTCCTCAACCAACGTTGTCGTGCTGAAAGCTGCCACGCCATTGAGTGATGAAGACATTGATGGGAAGTCAGACTGAGGGTGTTCGTGGTCAAACGATGTGCTCTTCTCGCTGACGGAGCCTACTGCTGATTCGTCCTTTGAACAAATGACGTCCACAGTAGGTGTTGCAGAGCGAGAGGTCTCTATTCGACGCACATACTGAGCACTAAGCTGCGCCAGTTCTTCGTTTCGAGCGTTAAGTACAGTGGTCTCCTCGAGGAATTGTTCGCGGGCAGCTTTCAACTCTACCACCTCTCTGATGAGAGCTTCGCGCTGCTGTGTGAGAGGAATGAGCTCATGCTGATACTGCGTCTTAATGTTGTCCAAGCGCATGGTCAAAGACCGGCTCATCTGTGCGGCAGGTATTTCGCCCGAGTTTGTAACGCTGGGGCAACTAAAATTCTAAAATGAGTGCTCGGTGACTTCAAAGGAAGTATTGCAACATTACTTCTTTGACGCGCATAGTTCTTCAAGCTCTGCTAAAGTCATATCTCGCTCCGCTTTCAGATGGGACAGATCGTGCTCCAACAGATTCAGCCTTTTGGCAAGCTCCTGGGAAAGCTGTCGTCGGGTTTCCGACCTGTTTGCCTCACCGTTGAGAGCAGTCAACTTTGCAGCTTGACCAGACAGCAAAACACGCAGGCGGGTGACCTCTGCTTCGGCATTCCGTCGAGCGACAAGTTCACGGTCATGCTCCTTCCGGGCAACAGTAAGACCCTCGATATATTGCTGGCTCGCCCTCTAAGAAGCATTAGAACGAACGACTTTGCAGTGAATTGTGTCTACCTTTGTGCCGTCATACTTGTATTTGAGCTCTTCGTATTCTATCCGTCGTTGCTTCATTGACGTAATGATAGCCCCAATGAAGTTCTTGTCCAATTTCAATTGCTGATAACCATGTTCGCTTGCATCATCAAGAACCTCGTGAAGGCGACGAATCACAAGATCATATGAATCGCTAGAAACAGGCATTGAAATGGTTGAATCGGGTAAAGTGACGACGATGCGCGCATTGGAATCCAAAGATGCATTGGAAGCCAGCCTCTCGTGCCTCGCTTCGTGACCGTGAAGAGAGGGATAATGCGACTCGGGAGAAGAGCGGTCTTTCGTCTCAGCATCAAGTGATTGAGAACAATTTGACGGATCTCGTTGATGATCATGCGGCTGTCGGGATGTGGTGGGAATGACTCGTTCCAGACGATCTTTATCATTCGCCGCACTCCCTGAGTTTCGTGACTTTCCATTGGCGACACTAATTGCAGCTGGACTAGGCAACGATTCATCCTTACGAGAATCATCTCCCTCGGCAATCTGATCGAGCGATTTGAGAGATGGCATTCCGCCCACCGACCTCAGAAAGTCTGAGAAGTCCGAGCCCGTCATGGAAAAGCGAATAGGAGGAAGAAGGGCGGGCGCGATAAACGTTGCTACCGACGTGCGTTCAACTGGCGAAGATTCATCCGAGTGGGAATCCATATGCGACATGGCAGATGCATCGGGATCAATGTCCAGCTTGAGCTCATTTGCGCGTGCCTTTGCCCTGTGCTCTTTAGGCGGGACAGGAGGAGCAGGAGTAGTGGGTGAAGGGCTATCGTCTGAGGATTTGCGACTACCATCCCCTTCTGCGTCCGTGTCTGTACCACTTTCAATACTGTGAGGGACATCCGCTCTATGACATGGAGATGTTGGAGTGACTGCGCCAGTGCGATCTGATATCGAGCCACTGGGTGCATTATCCATGCGCAATGTTCTCTCACTCGAATGGCCAGAGGGGGACAGACGCCCGTCAACATGCTGAGTATGCAGGCCATTTGTCGAGCTTCTCGCATGGTTCTGTAAGTCTGAACGAATAGAAATTTTCTCCAAGTTAGGACTTAACCGACGTGATTGGGTCGTCGAGCGGGCATAAAGTGATGCGGACTGGGGTTGAAGGGGGTCATGCGACATTGATCGCATACGACCATCGGGTGTTGCTCGCCCATTTTCTAGATGACCAGGGGCAGGTGATGGAGGAGGAGAATGGTATATAGTCGAGCCCGAAGCGCTGTCACGAAGTAGACTGATATTGGATCCCCGGCGAGATGGAAACGAATCGAAAAAGAATGACTTGGAAGGAGATGGCGCAACGGGTGAGTCGCTACGATTTGCAGGTAATGTCTGCGACCGAATCATCTGTTCTGGCGGAGAAAGTCCGGCTGAGGTAGAAGGCCGGGCAAAATTATTATAATCAAGAGCAAGTCCTGGGTTAATAGACCGCCGTTTGTCACTGCGAGACGTGACACCATTCGGTACGCCCAAGCTAGCCTGATCCAACGAATCCTTCTCCACGTGTCCTTTCTTTGCGAAGAGGACGTTCAGTGGCCGAACACCGTCATCATAGCTCTTTCTCCTGGAAAGTGCGCTAGATGAATCCACAGTCGACGATGGATTTAACAATGTCCCTCCAATTCCATCTTGAGCCTGCAGACTCTCTAAAGGAGTTATAGGAACAGACTGAGACAACACCTGTGGATTTGACGAGCCTAAATCATCAACAATGATCACTTGGGTATGATCAGCACCACCGTCATCGCTGTTGTCGGGAGGTGCGATAGTTACTGCGAATGATTGCGACTGTGCATCACGTGATGATCGTGAAGAGGGAGGAAGTTTATGCTGAATCGGGTGTGGGCTTGAAGGAAATATCGACGGTTGCGCAGTATTCTTGGCTGATGCTTGGGGAGGTTCATCTTGAAGTGGCGATGATCTTCGCTTTCGTTCCAACGTTGACAGGGCATCCTCTCTAGGTTGATTGAGACTTCTCATGGATGGAGTATCTCGAAAGGTCTTCGCTGAAGGCTTCAAACGCGTAGACGAAGATGAAGGAGGCGAAATAGCTTGTGGTCGATCAGACACCTATGATATCATGTCAAAAAATCGGCCCAGAGCGGTCAGCTCCGCTTATATGTTTCTACCTACCGCGTTATCTGCCAAGGCTTCACGTGCCTCTCGCTCTCGTGTTAAAGATGACGCGCTGCCCTCAGCAGCCTTCTCCCGTTCGCGCTTCCTCTGTGCATGGCGGCGAATCTTGGCCATGCGTTCGTTATGACAGGTCATGCAATAGATGCCATGACTGGTTTTGGCAAATACTAGTTCGTCGATTCTGTTATGACAAACCTTGCAATTAAAGCAATGTGCGTGGTATGAATCGTCTCCGGTCATGATAGCTTCGTCGAGAATGGGTTGGTGGCAAACATTACAATTGTACGAACAGTTGGCGCATATTGGCGAGCCATCTGAAAGCAGTAGCAAATTGGTGTCGGCGGTCACCTGTTGATGACACTTGGCGCATTTAAAGCAGTCGACGTGAAAAAATGACTGTCTAAATACGCGATGGGTGATCCGCAGCGCAAGTAGAGTTAAAACGCGTATCGATAATAGCAGCTTTTAGCTCACCCAAACGCGACAACCAAACCACCATTCTCGTTCACGGCATACTGCTTGCAGCCCGGACAGAGTCTGTTCTCGAGGGACGAGATTGAATTCAGAGCGACCTGTTGAGACATGGTTCCTTGGTTAAAAATGGTGCAATGCAGATGAGAATAGTTCGGATATCTTGTTTAAGATTCAAGATAGAGAAAGGACAGAAGGGTGGGAGCGGCGGGGGTATGGGATTTGAGCCAGCTCACGTAGGACGTGTATAGTTGAAGGAAGGACTGTTGACTATTTGTTTAGTGGCCAAACGATGGTAACCGTTAACGGGCTCGATGGGGAACACGATGACGAGGTATAAAGGGTGGGGTATTTGGTCGGGGTGAGTGCTGTAGTAGTAGACACCGTCCTAGATAGCCAGTTCCAAATAGTAGAATAAATGTTTTTTTATGTAAAACAAGATAACCTGATGTAAGGAACACAGTTTATCCCACGCTTTCTCAGCTTCGAGGAGGTACTCTCTGATATCTGGTCATCGATCGATTCAGCTATAGAGTCAGTCGACTTAGGAACATCATCAGCTAGGTTCAGAGACTACATTGCAATTTTCCCCTTGAAACGACCTGTGCAGTGACGAACTATTGATATCCGAGGTGCTCTCACCACAGCTGTTCAGTGTGATCCGGGGTTTGTATAAGTGTATTAACATTGCCAATTCTGAAGCCAAATACATTAATTATGGGATAGTTCCAAACTTCCTGAACCCTTTCGAAGTTCGTTGGTTGGATACCGGAATCATCCACAGCTGAGTTTCACCGACCAACCAAATGAAGCCAAATGGCGACCGACGGGCCCAGGCCTGTAGCCCCGTTCGATCGATGAACGTAGCCTCGAGGTCGAATGCGTGTAAGATTGTTGTCTTGACAAGTTGTGCGCGTCCACTGCGACGGCGGCGCCCACCGATGGGGTGGGGCGTGGGTTGTGTTCTTGCAAGAAGCTGAAGTTCTGAGTACTTCTTGTGCGGAACGTAAAATCCGAGGAATCCAATTATTCAAATGTAATTACATGCCTTTTCGGTCGATGATGTAACTGTATTTCACATGCCCTGGTCCGTGCGCAACTAATTTCCTATATAAGTGGCTCACTTGGCAAGCTATTTCCCCATCTCTTGTGCTCGGGCATGTACTGTCGCCAGTGAGGTCTTTACCGAGGCACAGTCTTTTGCTGATTGCAAATTACACATCCGAACCCGTCTGTTAGCTTCGGCTTTCAGCAATTTTTGGAAAACCTTTATTTCAGGCTTTGAGCTTGAAGGAATAGTTAGAAATTATATAAATTATTATTCAATTCAATTCAATTTACTATTTGAAATTACCCCTCGTAACCGGTAATTGATTAATCACAGGACTATCGGCTCCTTTATAATTACCCCATCAGTTGAACTTGGAATTGACATGTCGAAGAAAAATCATAATCGCTTGCAACTGTCGAGATCTCGTACACCGCTTCCTGGAGCAGAGTTGGTGATGCCAGGTGTGACGAAAAGTGGCATGCGCATCAAACAAGTTGCAAGCAGCATTATAAGCCGCATTGCTGAGGAAGCTGGCCGCCGATCTGAATGGAGAAGAAGCCGTGTAGTCAGCATCTATGATCCGAATGCTGAAAAGTCAACGCCAACCGTTTTAAAGACGCGGCAACATTTCTCTTGCCGAGGTGGGTGACTAGTAGCTGGCACGAGAGGGACTCAGAGGGGGGTTCGCTGAGCGTACGAAGTAGTGTGACGGCGAGCGAATTCTCTGCGGGCGAGCAATGTTGAATCACCCGCCCAGAGTCTTGCGAAGACTCATCATGCACTCGTGCTGACCTGCACGTTGCAGGTGAGCTGTATGTTCCGGCTCCTGAGCATGGTTCGACGTTGTCGAACTTTGATAGTCGACCCTCGTGAATTTCATCTATGACCCACACGTGCAGCTGATGGATTCCTACTAAAACCAGAAACGACGATCCAACCCGAGGATGGGTGAGTAGGTGACTCATCCTCGAAGTACTGGCTCTTCGATCTCGAGAGCAAACATGCGTACCAAGCTTCTTGGCGCACCGAGATAGCTCCATATAGATTTTGGAGCTTCAAGTTGATTACCAGTCGACTTGTCAGTAACGCTACGGCTATTAGTTCACGAGTTTTTAAGAACTTCAGGTAGTAGTACGGCTTGCTCACCGAGAAACGGTAGATGGGTTTACGCAAATCATTAGGATTGTCATCGAGGTAGACTTGAATGTTCCGGTGGGTTTCATTCTGAGAAAGCTGTGGTGACACATGGCTGATGCAGTTACAGCTATGGATAAGAACAATTTCCATTTTGAGAACCAAGGAAAACAGGTATCGCGAAATGACAATACCAACGGAAGCAGTTTACTCTGTTTCTGCTCTTGTTTAGGTTTCTCCCTCCCGGTTCTCCATCCTCTTCATCAAGGCATTCACCAGGGATCGGCGCTCATCTTTTTCTTGCCGCTATCGACAACGTTGTTCTGCAGCAAGCTGCAAGGCTTCTAGCCCCCCGCCACCTGGACGTCCCTGTGCTACCCACGTTCTGGATCATTCCCTAAGCCTGTCAAGGATAAACTCAACTTGTGCTTTTGACTAGCACATCATCATCATCATCATCATCATGCCTCTTCCAAGCGGCACGCCGTTGTCTCTTCAAGGACATTCTCGCCCTGGAGATACTGTCCAGACTAAGCCTAAGCACGCTATGATCGTCCGTATGTCGGCTGAAACATTAGAAGCTCTCGAGGACTTGTCCAGCAATCCTTCGATGAATTTCGAGTTTGGTGATAGTCCAGTCAGTCCAAGTGCTTGCGACTCAACCATATCTAACGCTCAATCTCAGGGTATTCACATCGGGGAGACATTCTTTCCAATGCGTCCTTTGAAAGAGAGTTCTCCGCACGAAATCTATCTCAGGACGTCCTCTGCAGCCAAGCCAAATGCCCCGTTGAAGCTCTATGCCAATGTCATGGGCAAATTCATCGTTGACCGACAGCTTGGCGAGAAGGTCACTGATAAAGTACGGCAGCAAACCATCGAGGCGAAGAAGCAACATTCCGAGCGCCAAACCATCATGCTCGATGCGCCGCTTCTATCTGCAGCAGGCACAAAGAACCTTAAGCGAAAAACACCAGGTTCTGGGACGGTGGTAAAGAAAAGCGCACAACGTGATACCCTCCATACCCCTGCTGCCTCCACCCCTGCTGCACGAAAAATTTCGCCGATACCACAAACCGTCTCGTCAAAGGCGAATGCAGATATTCGCAGGCGTCTTATCCACTTCCTTGCAGTTGAGCATCGCGAAACAGATTTGACGGTAACCAGGGTTTGCGGGAGTAACTGCGATGCCTCTGCAAGGGCTAATCTACTCAGTATCTTAGAGGAGGTGGGTATGCATCACTCTACTTTGACTTTTTTCACTCAATCGTGAATGCACAGGTTGCTGAGCAAACCCCAGCCCCGAAAGGCGACAAGTCGCCTCGGAAATGGGCTCTCAAAAATCGTACATGGCTCGAAGTGCGTCCATACGAATGGGAGACGTACAAACCGTCAGACCGGACCAACATCGCTCGACAAGGCAGAGTCGTGCTTAAGTCTCTCAGGATACCAGAGTCTGACTCTGTGTGGGATCATTTTCGCTTTCGAAACGTTGCACCTCCTACTGGAGCTCCTCCTCATCCAACTCACGGAGGTAAGACCATCACCGGCCCACCTGCAGGCCTTCTCAAGCCGAAGCCCGAACCAAAACGTCCTGCTATATCCAAAGATCTGAAGCAGAAAGCGAAGGCAGATTCTTCTCGAATAAAGGGCGATATACAAATGAAAGATGAGGGTGCACGGCCAAGGGGTGACATACAGATGAAGGACGAGTCCGTTAAACTCCCTAGGGTGGCCGCTATTAAGCGCGAAGAAGCCAGTCCATCTCCCAGTAGCAGCACTAGCACTAGCTCAAAGGCAGCGTCCAGACGATTACCGGGCTCTGGATACGTTGCCAAAAAGTCCCCTCAGCCTTCTCCTACCGTTGAGTCGGCATCTCGTGGAGCTGCAGGTCCAGCCGATGTTCGTCCTCAAAAACCGTTACCCCGCTTACCTCCCAAACCCGTCCCGGCATCCCTACCGCCACTGCCAAGTCAGGAGAAGATGTCTACCACTTCGATGCCAATGAAGATGACGAAGAAGATGCTTCCACCCGAGGATTCCGATAGAGAGCGCGAAAGACATAGGGATAAAGATAGACCGGCGAAGGATAGAGTTGTCGCTGGTGTGAAGCGGAAGAACGCTACCCATGATGTGGGGGATGCGCAGGACGGGGAGGGGTTCAAGGCAAACTCGTTCAAGAAGCGCAAAACGGAAGATGGACCATCATCTGCCGCATCCTCGTCTTCATTAAAAGGTCGAGACTTGTCTCTTCCAAAGAAGCCGGTCGAGGCCACATCTCCTGTACCACCTCCGCCGAAGAAGATCAAGAAAGAGTCTTCTCCGCTCCCACCGCCTCGCACTGCCTTGCCGACGCAGCCACCACCTCCAAACTCGCCTTCCAAAACAGATCAACGACCGAAACTCAACGGAGCGTCAAAAGTCAGGCGAAAGTCGCCGATATATACCTCTTCGGATGAAGGAGAGATACCAGAGCCGTCACAGAAGTCCGCACAGGATCCTTCCACGAATACTGATCGCTCCAAGGGCAAGGAGGGACGTACCCGCCCCCGATCTTCATACCCACAACCCTCTGATCGTAATGGGCTGCGCTCGCGGTACCAGTCCAAGTACGGACATTACCTGGGTACATATGCCCAAATCCTCGCACAGAAGCGGAAGATCGAGGCCATCTTAAACGGAGAATCGGAAGCGGAAGGAGAAATCATGGATCCGGAGGAGCTGAAGAGGCTCAGTGCCGAGCACAAGAACCAGAAAGAGGAATTAGAGTCTATCCAGGATAAGTGGATGAACGGGTCTGTATCGGAATGAAATGGATCACATCGTGACTGCGAACTTCTTCAGGACTTAAGACGGACATGACCTACTCATCAACACTATCAGTATCTGCGCCAAATTTTCTTGTTGTACATCGCTTTTCGTTCATTATTTCAGACTGTGCTATCGCAGAATTGCAGCTTTGAGAGCTATCATAGCATGTATACGCTGATACACAGACTAATTACGACTATTGTCTAATTTTCGGCTTGAATGAGTAATGTCCCATGCATCACCTACATCGGCGTTCGATCAGCTAGGAAATACGCATTAAAGAATCGGTCACACTCACTCTTCACTACCACGATGGGCGAAAAGTTCCGAACAGACCAACCGCGAAACCTGAATTGAGAACCAGTTAACCGCAGATAGGGCCGTGAAGCCTTCTATAGGTTATGATCACTGGCATCACTGCTCCTCGAGGCACTTTGAAGCTGCGTATTATTCGAGTTCTCTGATGCCGGCTTTAGCATCACGATCGTGTTTCTCGAACCACGCTTCGAGTGT